CCACACAGATAGTCCACCACACAGATAGTCCACCACACAGACAGTCCACCACACAGACAGTCCACTACACAGATAGTCCACCACACGGACAGTCCACCACACAGACAGTCCACTACACAGACAGTCCACTACACAGACAGTCCACTACACAGATAGTCCACCACACAGACAATCCACCACACAGATAGTCCACCACATAGACAATCCACCACATAGACAGTCCACCACATAGACAGTCCACTACATAATCCACCACATAGACAGTCCACTACACAGACGGTCCACTACATAGTCCACCACACAGACGGTCCACCACACAGACAGTCCACCACACAGACAGTCCACTACATAGTCCACTACACAGATAGTCCACTACACAGACTGTCCACCACACAGACGGTCCACCACACAGACGGTCCACCACACAGACAATCCACCACACAGATAGTCCACCACATAGACAATCCACCACATAGACAGTCCACTACATAGTCCACCACACAGATAGTCCACCACACAGACAATCCACCACATAGATAGTCCACCACATAGACAATCCACCACATAGACAGTCCACTACATAGACAGTCCACTACACAGACAGTCCACTACATAGTCCACCACACAGATAGTCCACCACACAGATAGTCCACCACATAGACAATCCACCACATAGACAGTCCACTACATAGTCCACCACACAGATAGTCCACCACACAGATAGTCCACCACACAGACAGTCCACCACACAGACAGTCCACTACACAGACAGTCCACCACATAGACAATCCACCACATAGACAGTCCACCACATAGACAGTCCACTACACAGATAGTCCACTACACAGACTGTCCACTACACAGATAGTCCACTACACAGACGGTCCATCACATAGATAGTCCACCACACAGATAGTCCACTAAACAGGCCATCACACAGACAATCAACCACATAGACAGTCCACCACACAGATAGTCCACTAAACAGACGGTCCATCACATAGACAGTCCACCACACAGACTGTCCACCACACAGACAGTCCACCACACAGACAATCCACCACACAGACAGTCCACCACACAGATAGTCCACCACACAGATAGTCCACCACACAGACAATCCACCACATAGATAGTCCACCACATAGACAATCCACCACATAGACAGTCCACTACATAGACAGTCCACTACACAGACAGTCCACTACATAGTCCACCACACAGATAGTCCACCACACAGATAGTCCACCACATAGACAATCCACCACATAGACAGTCCACTACATAGTCCACCACACAGATAGTCCACCACACAGATAGTCCACCACACAGACAGTCCACCACACAGACAGTCCACTACACAGACAGTCCACCACATAGACAATCCACCACATAGACAGTCCACCACACAGATAGTCCACTAAACAGGCCATCACACAGACAATCAACCACATAGACAGTCCACCACACAGATAGTCCACTACACAGACGGTCCATCACATAGATAGTCCACCACACAGATAGTCCACTAAACAGGCCATCACACAGACAATCAACCACATAGACAGTCCACCACACAGATAGTCCACTAAACAGACGGTCCATCACATAGACAGTCCACCACACAGATTGTCCACCACACAGACGGTCCACCACACAGACAATCCACTACACAGATAGTCCACCACACAGACAGTCCACCACACAGACAATCCACCACACAGATAGTCCACCACATAGATAGTCCACCACACAGATAGTCCACCACACAGACTGTCCACCACACAGACAATCCATCACATAGATAGTCCACCACACAGACGGTCCACCACACAGACGGTCCACCACACAGACTGTCCACCACACAGACTGTCCACCACACAGATAGTCCACCACACAGACTGTCCACCACACAGATAGTCCACAACACAGACAGTCCACCACACAGACAGTCCACTACACAGATAGTCCACCACACAGACTGTCCACCACACAGACAGTCCACCACACAGACAATCCACCACACAGACAGTCCACCACACAGATAGTCCACCACACAGACTGTCCACCACACAGATAGTCCACCACACAGACTGTCCACTACACAGATAGTCCACCACACAGACAGTCCACCACACAGATAGTCCACCACACAGATAGTCCACCACACAGACTGTCCACCACACAGACAATCCATCACATAGATAGTCCACCACACAGACGGTCCACCACACAGACTGTCCACCACACAGACTGTCCACCACACAGATAGTCCACAACACAGACAGTCCACCACACAGACAGTCCACTACACAGATAGTCCACCACACAGACTGTCCACCACACAGACAGTCCACCACACAGACAATCCACCACACAGACAGTCCACCACACAGATAGTCCACCACACAGACAGTCCACTACACAGATAGTCCACCACACAGACTGTCCACCACACAGACAGTCCACCACACAGACAATCCACCACACAGACAGTCCACCACACAGATAGTCCACCACACAGATAGTCCACCACACAGACAATCCACCACATAGATAGTCCACCACATAGACAATCCACCACATAGACAGTCCACTACATAGACAGTCCACTACACAGACAGTCCACTACATAGTCCACCACACAGATAGTCCACCACACAGATAGTCCACCACATAGACAATCCACCACATAGACAGTCCACTACATAGTCCACCACACAGATAGTCCACCACACAGATAGTCCACCACACAGACAGTCCACCACACAGACAGTCCACTACACAGACAGTCCACCACATAGACAATCCACCACATAGACAGTCCACCACATAGACAGTCCACTACACAGATAGTCCACTACACAGACTGTCCACTACACAGATAGTCCACTACACAGACGGTCCATCACATAGATAGTCCACCACACAGATAGTCCACTAAACAGGCCATCACACAGACAATCAACCACATAGACAGTCCACCACACAGATAGTCCACTAAACAGACGGTCCATCACATAGACAGTCCACCACACAGATTGTCCACCACACAGACGGTCCACCACACAGACAATCCACTACACAGATAGTCCACCACACAGACAGTCCACCACACAGACAATCCACCACACAGATAGTCCACCACATAGATAGTCCACCACACAGATAGTCCACCACACAGACTGTCCACCACACAGACAATCCATCACATAGATAGTCCACCACACAGACGGTCCACCACACAGACGGTCCACCACACAGACTGTCCACCACACAGATAGTCCACCACACAGACTGTCCACCACACAGATAGTCCACAACACAGACAGTCCACCACACAGACAGTCCACTACACAGATAGTCCACCACACAGACTGTCCACCACACAGACAGTCCACCACACAGACAATCCACCACACAGACAGTCCACCACACAGATAGTCCACCACACAGACTGTCCACCACACAGATAGTCCACCACACAGACTGTCCACTACACAGATAGTCCACCACACAGACAGTCCACCACACAGATAGTCCACCACACAGATAGTCCACCACACAGACTGTCCACCACACAGACAGTCCACCACACAGACTGTCCACCACACAGACAGTCCACCACACAGATAGTCCACCACACAGACAGTCCACCACACAGATAGTCCACCACACAGACTGTCCACCACACAGATAGTCCACCACACAGACTGTCCACCACACAGATAGTCCACCACACAGACAGTCCACCACACAGACAGTCCACTACACAGATAGTCCACCACACAGACTGTCCACCACACAGACAGTCCACCACACAGACAATCCACCACACAGACAGTCCACCACACAGATAGTCCACCACACAGACAATCCATCACATAGATAGTCCACCACACAGACTGTCCACCACACAGACTGTCCACCACACAGATAGTCCACTAAACAGGCCATCACACAGACAATCCACCACATAGACAGTCCACTACATAATCCACCACACAGACGGTCCACCACACAGACTGTCCACCACACAGACTGTCCACTACACAGATAGTCCACTAAACAGGCCATCACACAGACAATCCACCACATAGACAGTCCACTACATAATCCACCACACAGACAGTCCACCACGCAGACAGTCCACTGCACAGACTGTCCATCGCACATAGACAGTCCACTCTACAGGCCACTATACAGACAGTCCATAAAACAGGCAGTCCACTACACAGACAGTCCACCACACAGATGGTCCACTACACAGTCCACTACACAGACAGTCCACCACACATAGTCCACTACACAGACAGTCCACCACACAGACAGTCCACCACACAGACAGTCCACTACAAAGACGGTCCACTACATAGTCCACTACACAGTCCACACTATAGGCCACCACACGGACAGTCCACAGATTGTCCACTACACAGACTGTCCACCACACAAATAGTCCACATCATAGACAGTCCACTACACAGACTGTCCACCACACAGACAGTCCACCACACAGACAGTCCACTACAAAGACGGTCCACTACATAGTCCACTACACAGTCCACACTATAGGCCACCACACGGACAGTCCACAGATTGTCCACTACACAGACTGTCCACCACACAAATAGTCCACATCATAGACAGTCCACTTCACAGACCACCACACAGACAGTCCACCACACAGACTGTCCACCACACAGTCCACCACACAGACAGTCCACTACATAGACAATCCATCACACAGACAGTCCACTACACAGACAGTCCACTACACAGACAGTCCACTACACAGACAGTCCACTACACAGACAGTCCTCCACGCAACATAGTAAGTCCATTACACAGGCAGCCCCATACACAAACCGAGCACCATACAGACAGTCTCAACACATTCGTCTACATATATAGTCATCTACACAGATAGTCCACCATGTAGACAGTCAGTGAACAATTTTTACAAGTGCATGTACTCACATATATTGCCATGGTTACAGGATCCCGTCATGATGCTGAGGAAGCTGATGAGCTGAGCTCAGAACGAGCCAAAGAGCTGCTGGAGAAGCTGGCCACGAAACACGACTTGGACGGAGATAAACGTATCTCCAAGGATGAGTTCATCACATGGATTCTGCAGTCTTTCAAGTGGGTACAGGGGCAGTGGCGTAGTCTTTTGGTTAAAGCATTTGCTTGTCAGGCCGAAGCCCTGGGTCTTAATCCCTGCATGGGTACAATGTGTTCAGCCCATTGCTGTGTTCCCCCGCTGGAATATTGCTGGAATATTGCTAAAAGCATTAAAAAAAACCCAACTCAGCCCCTCAAGTGGGTATATGTATAATGCTGACAGCACTTTTTAACATCACACAAATTATCTTTCGTTATAGTTCAAAATTACCAATGTGTGTATTAAGGTTACATAAAGGTGTCCCCCGTGATGATCAGAGTTAGAATTGGTCTTCAGCAACATATGCGTAAGAGGCCGCTATGCTTGATGTTAGAGCCGACTAACGGGATCGGGCGGTCCGACTAACGGGATCGGGCGGTCAGGCTTGCTGACTTGGTTGATGCATGTCATGGCATCCCAATTATATAGATTGATGCTCATGAAGTCAATCACTGGATTGTCTGGTCCAGACTCCATTATTGCCAGACTTTCGTCATATAACTGGAATGTTGTAGAGTGCAGTTTTAAGCAACAAACACACAATAAATAAAGGTGTATATGTGAGAGTGGTACATGCATGGTATGAGGTGGTGGTTTGTTAGACTGAAGGAACAAAATTTGTTTTTAACCCAATACATAAATGTAACATAACTGGTCAGGTCACTGGATGCGGAGGAGGCATTGGAGCGTTTCAAAGAGGAGGATGTTAATCACGACAACATAATTGGTTGGGACGAGTACCTGAAGCAGCAGTATGACTACTCTCTGGAGGATATGAAGAAGATGAGGGCACAACCTGACGAGGATGATAACAAGAATATGGTTGAGGTGGGCACTGGGGTGAAATGGGTCAGAAGATGGCGAGGTGTGTGAGGAGGTGGGGAGGTGTGTCTAGAGACGGAGATGTGTGTCAGGAGGCGGGGTGGTGTGTCAGGAGGTGGGGTGGTGTGTCAGGAGATAGGGAGGTGTGTCAGGAAGGTGCTGTGATGTGTCAGGAGGTGGGGAATTGTGTGGGGAGGTGTGTCAGGAGGTGTGTCAGGAGGTGGGGTGGTGTGTCAGGAGATAGGGAGGTGTGTCAGGAAGGTGCTGTGATGTGTCAGGAGGTTGGGAGGTGTGTCAGGAGGTGGGGAGGTGTGTCAGGAGATGGGGAGGTGTGTCAGGAGGTAGAGATGTGTTCAGGAGGTGGGGAGGTGTGTCAGGAGGTGGGAAGATGTGTCAGGAGGTGGGAAGGTGTGTCAGGAGGTGGGGAGGTGTGTTAGGAGGTAGAGATGTGTTCAGGAGGTGGGAAGATGTGTCAGGAGGTGGGAAGGTGTGTCAGGAGGTGGGGAGGTGTGTCGGGAGGTAGAGATGTGTTCAGGGGGTGGGAAGATGTGTCAGGAGGTGGGGAGGTGTGTCAGGAAGGAGGTGAGGAGAGGTATCAGGAGGTGGGAAGATGTGTCAGAAGGTGGAGAGGTGTGTCAGAAGGTGGAGAGGTGTGTAAGGAGGTGGGGAGGTGTGTCAAAAGGTGGAGAGGTGTGTCAGGAGGTGGGGAGGTGTCTCAGGAAGGAGGTGAGGAGAGGTGGGAAGATGTGTCAGGAGGTTGGAAGATGTGTCAGGAGGTGGGAAGATTTGTCAGGAGGTGGAGAGGTATGTCAGAAGGTGGAGAGGCGTGTCAGAAGGTGGAGAGGTGTGTCAAAAAATGCTGTATTTAGATGTTCATCTTGTGCTCTACTATGACTATGGGTGTGTGATGTATTTGCTCTTGTTATCAGATGGTGGATGAGGATGAGAGGCGGTTCAATGGCGCTGACCTGGACAAGAGTGGGTCACTAGACAAGAGCGAGTATGTGGCTTTCTATCACCCATATGACTTTGAGCACATGCACCAGTACGAGATTGAGAGAGGCATCAAGGACTATGACAAGGATGGTGATGGCCAGGTCTCAATGAAGGAGTTTGTTGGAGGTATGTTTCAAGATGTTATTAACACTAGTTTTCACTTTGATGTGATGCTCATACAGTGACATTTAGTGTTGTACTTGTACTGAGTTTTCTTCCAAAGCATCTTAGGCGACACTTTTTTTATTTCTTGGTTTACGGATTTCAAACTCATTTCAAAAGTGAGGCAGGCCAATTTTTAAAAAAAAGAAGTCTCTCACATTTTTTTTACTTGAATTTTGTCCTAAAAAGTTTAGGTATGAAAAAAAATATCCTAAAAACAAAAGTAAAATAACTCAATTTTTCAAGTACCTTTTATTATATCCCTGAAACTCTGCTTGTGCACAAATGGCAACCTAACAATATGGGCGACGATTAACTCCTTCAACGCCAGCCAACCAGAAGATTACTGCTGTGACACCGAGTTCCCAGAGACTCTTGTGTGATAGATGAAGCCAACATTTATCAAGGAAATTATCTGCTTGTAAAACATCTTTGCTACTACACCATTTGAAAGGTCTAATTAATCCTATTGATTATAAATATGAAAGTTACGTGTATCACATTATTTAAATAATTCATTTACAACTCAATTGAGTTCATTTTGCAATAAAGCTAGCACATTCATAACGTCCAGGTTAAGGACCAAGGTGGCGAAAATTTAACAATTTTCGTCAAATATTAGATTTTGTAAAATCCACTTGCCTATTTCTTTTTTAGTTTCATGGTTAACGTAATCAGCAAATTATTTTTAAAAAGAATTACAAATAATATCTGTCATCACCCATTTCCCGACAATAGTGACTTTCCGCTCACTATCATGAGGAAATACCTCCGTTTTCAAAGCTTCCTATGAATAATACGTACGTCGAAGGCTGACATGCCAGTATCCATAACAAAAACTTACATTGTTTCACCGACATAATGATAATACAGAAGTTTTTTCGTGGCTGTGACATGTAAAACTTGGTTTCTAGTGATGCTTTCTTGACGAAATCTGCTACAAGGTTCTTGATTGGTCAAATGTAAGCATGTGACTTAAGGCAGCCAATCAAATTTCAGCAACAGTACAGTCGCTCATGTATGGTAATTTTCAGACTTTGACGAAGGGTTTTGATTAAATCATGTTATTCTGAACGTTTTAAGCAGGAAATTGCAGTCTATATTAAAAATAAGGAACTTCATGGATGTATAGTGATAGGTTACAAGCTGTGACAAAGATTATTCATGCATATATTTTGGCATTAAACTTTGTGTACAAGCCGAGGAATAGAGGCGACGAAAGCCGAGATGTCATTTGACTTACATTACACAGGATCGCACGAAAAATGGAAATAATAATTTAGATGTCAGTTTGGCAACTTTTAGATATATTTTTGTTGATTTTATTACTTTGTATAATATATTTAAAGATTTGCTTGAAACGTCTTTATTTTGCTGTTTGACACATTCGATGAGGACCCGTTGTTGAAGTGTGTCCGAGAATCTTATTTTCATTAACATTGCGGGAAATAGTGAATAATTATTAAATCTATTGATAAGAAATGATAAAATTAAATGGAATATGTATTTCAGACATTGTGAAATGTGATAGATCTAATAAATGAATGATATAACAAGTAGGTTACTAAAATTATAAACTATTTTGATGAGACTTGGCCGGTCTACCCTGTAGTGTCTGGTGACTCATGGCTTGGCCGGTGTACCGGCCAACAGTGTTGAAATAGTCAAAATGGTCACCACTGCACTTTGCGTTGATAAGCTTTGATGGTATTAGAGAAGGATCCCAGTGGGAAATATCAGAGTGACTTCCCTTTGCTTTATGCTCGACGAGGAAATGAAATCTTGTTTTGTTTGAACTTTTTGACGAAAAGATCGGCGGTAATACAAAATGGGTAATTTTCATTTTTATTTCTTTTTAACATTTGGACTGAAAGAGCGGCGCATCAGTAAACCAAGAAATAAAAAACCCTGTCACCTTAGATTCAAATCCTAGATTCACCCAATTTTAGTATCAGACATGTATTCAATGATTGCACCTAATCTCAGTCTTATTTCTCGCTGCTACTACACAAAGATCTGAAGACACTCTGTTACAGGTCATGTCAGAATGACCTTTTGCAAACTTTGGCCAACCAATGGACATGATAAAATGGTTAACGGGAAGTCAACATTACAGCACAAGTTTCTAACTACACTTTGAAAATGGTTCAAAATTTGAACCAGAACAAGTTCTGAAATGTCTTATAGATGGCTGAGATTGTAATGCAATACTTCCTATGGGCTTTGGAAAGTCTCTTCCATTTCAAATGTTTGAAGCGAACGATAGATGATGATTTTGACAGAATGAGTCGTACCGCCCGTCACTGTGGTTTGAAATGCATGCAGTGTTTTCCTTATCGCGGTTGCATGATTAGAAAATGCATCCTGATTGTGTTAACTACATATGTGTGTTGGGTTGGCTACAGATGTGTGTTGTTGTGATGGCTACAGATGTGTGTTGTTGTGATGGCTACAGATGTGTGTTGTGTTGACTACAGATGTGTGTTGTGTTGACTACAGATGTGTGTTGTGTTGACTACAGATGTGTGTTGTGTTGACTACAGATGTGTGTTGTGTTGACTACAGATGTGTGTTGTGTTGGCTACAGATGTGTGTTGTTGTGTTGGCTACAGATGTGTGTTGTTGTGTTGACTACAGATGTGTGTTGTTGTGTTGGCTACAGATGTGTGTTGTGTTGGCTACAGATGTGTGTTGTGATGGCTACAGATGTGTGTTGTGTTGACTACAGATGTGTGTTGTGTTGGCTACAGATGTGTGTTGTTGTGTTGGCTACAGATGTGTTGTTGTGTTGACTACAGATGTGTGTTGTTGTGTTGACTACAGATGTGTGTTGTTGTGTTGACTACAGATGTGTGTTGTTGTGTTGACTACAGATGTGTGTTGTTGTGTTGACTACAGATGTGTGTTGTTGTGTTGACTACAGATGTGTTGTTGTGTTGACTACAGATGTGTGTTGTTGTGTTGGCTACAGATGTGTGTTGTTGTGTTGGCTACAGATGTGTGTTGTGTTGGCTACAGATGTGTGTTGTTGTGATGGCTACAGATGTGTGTTGTTGTGTTGACTACAGATGTGTGTTGTTGTGTTGGCTACAGATGTGTGTTGTGTTGGCTACAGATGTGTGTTGTTGTGTTGGCTACAGATGTGTGTTGTTGTGATGGCTACAGATGTGTGTTGTTGTGTTGACTACAGATGTGTGTTGTTGTGTTGACTACAGATGTGTGTTGTGATGGCTACAGATGTGTGTTGTTGTGTTGGCTACAGATGTGTGTTGTGTTGGCTACAGATGTGTGTTGTTGTGTTGGCTACAGATGTGTGTTGTGTTGGCTACAGATGTGTGTTGTTGTGTTGGCTACAGATGTGTGTTGTTGTGTTGACTACAGATGTGTGTTGTGTTGGCTACAGATGTGTGTTGTGTTGGCTACAGATGTGTGTTGTTGTGTTGGCTACAGATGTGTGTTGTTGTGTTGGCTACAGATGTGTGTTGTGTTGACTACAGATGTGTGTTGTTGTGTTGGCTACAGATGTGTGTTGTTGTGTTGACTACAGATGTGTGTTGTGTTGGCTACAGATGTGCGTTGTGTTGACTACAGATATGTGTTGTTGTGTTGGCTACAGATGTGTGTTGTTGTGTTGGCTACAGATGTGTGTTGTGTTGGCTACAGATGTGTGTTGTTGTGTTGGCTACATATGTGTGTTGTTGTGTTGACTACAGATGTGTGTTGTTGTGTTGACTACAGATGTGTGTTGTTGTGTTGACTACAGATGTGTGTTGTTGTGTTGACTACAGATGTGTGTTGTTGTGTTGGCTACAGATGTGTGTTGTTGTGTTGGCTACAGATGTGTGTTGTTGTGTTGGCTACAGATGTGTGTTGTGTTGGCTACAGATGTGTGTTGTTGTGTTGGCTACAGATGTGTGTTGTTGTGTTGACTACAGATGTGTGTTGTGTTGGCTACAGATGTGTGTTGTGTTGGCTACAGATGTGTGTTGTTGTGTTGGCTACAGATGTGTGTTGTTGTGTTGGCTACAGATGTGTGTTGTTGTGTTGACTACAGGTGTGTGTTGTGTTGGCTACAGATGTGCGTTGTGTTGACTACAGATGTGTGTTGTTGTGTTGGCTACAGATGTGTGTTGTTGTGTTGGCTACATATGTGTGTTGTTGTGTTGACTACAGATGTGTGTTGTTGTGTTGACTACAGATGTGTGTTGTTGTGTTGACTACAGATGTGTGTTGTTGTGTTGACTACAGATGTGTGTTGTTGTGTTGGCTACAGATGTGTGTTGTTGTGTTGACTACAGATGTGTGTTGTGTTGGCTACAGATGTGCGTTGTGTTGACTACAGATATGTGTTGTTGTGTTGGCTACAGATGTGTGTTGTTGTGTTGGCTACAGATGTGTGTTGTGTTGGCTACAGATGTGTGTTGTTGTGTTGGCTACATATGTGTGTTGTTGTGTTGACTACAGATGTGTGTTGTTGTGTTGACTACAGATGTGTGTTGTTGTGTTGACTACAGATGTGTGTTGTTGTGTTGACTACAGATGTGTGTTGTTGTGTTGGCTACAGATGTGTGTTGTTGTGTTGGCTACAGATGTGTGTTGTTGTGTTGGCTACAGATGTGTGTTGTGTTGGCTACAGATGTGTGTTGTTGTGTTGGCTACAGATGTGTGTTGTTGTGTTGACTACAGATGTGTGTTGTGTTGGCTACAGATGTGTGTTGTGTTGGCTACAGATGTGTGTTGTTGTGTTGGCTACAGATGTGTGTTGTTGTGTTGGCTACAGATGTGTGTTGTTGTGTTGACTACAGGTGTGTGTTGTGTTGGCTACAGATGTGCGTTGTGTTGACTACAGATGTGTGTTGTTGTGTTGGCTACAGATGTGTGTTGTTGTGTTGGCTACATATGTGTGTTGTTGTGTTGACTACAGATGTGTGTTGTTGTGTTGACTACAGATGTGTGTTGTTGTGTTGACTACAGATGTGTGTTGTTGTGTTGACTACAGATGTGTGTTGTTGTGTTGGCTACAGATGTGTGTTGTTGTGTTGGCTACAGATGTGTGTTGTTGTGTTGGCTACAGATGTGTGTTGTTGTGTTGACTACAGATGTGTGTTGTTGTGATGGCTACAGATGTGTGTTGTTGTGATGGCTACAGATGTGTGTTGTTGTGTTGGCTACAGATGTGTGTTGTTGTGTTGACTACAGATGTGTGTTGTGATGGCTACAGATGTGTGTTGTTGTGTTGGCTACAGATGTGTGTTGTGTTGGCTACAGATGTGTGTTGTTGTGTTGGCTACAGATGTGTGTTGTGTTGGCTACAGATGTGTGTTGTTGTGTTGGCTACAGATGTGTGTTGTTGTGTTGACTACAGATGTGTGTTGTGTTGGCTACAGATGTGTGTTGTGTTGGCTACAGATGTGTGTTGTTGTGTTGGCTACAGATGTGTGTTGTTGTGTTGGCTACAGATGTGTGTTGTGTTGACTACAGATGTGTGTTGTTGTGTTGGCTACAGATGTGTGTTGTTGTGTTGACTACAGATGTGTGTTGTGTTGGCTACAGATGTGCGTTGTGTTGACTACAGATATGTGTTGTTGTGTTGGCTACAGATGTGTGTTGTTGTGTTGGCTACAGATGTGTGTTGTGTTGGCTACAGATGTGTGTTGTTGTGTTGGCTACATATGTGTGTTGTTGTGTTGACTACAGATGTGTGTTGTTGTGTTGACTACAGATGTGTGTTGTTGTGTTGACTACAGATGTGTGTTGTTGTGTTGACTACAGATGTGTGTTGTTGTGTTGGCTACAGATGTGTGTTGTTGTGTTGGCTACAGATGTGTGTTGTTGTGTTGGCTACAGATGTGTGTTGTTGTGTTGACTACAGATGTGTGTTGTTGTGATGGCTACAGATGTGTGTTGTTGTGTTGGCTACATATGTGTGTTGTTGTGTTGACTACAGATGTGTGTTGTGATGGCTACAGATGTGTTGTTGTGTTGACTACAGATGTGTGTTGTGTTGGCTACAGATGTGTGTTGTTGTGTTGACTACAGATGTGTGTTGTTGTGTTGACTACAGATGTGTGTTGTTGTGTTGGCTACAGATGTGTGTTGTTGTGTTGGCTACAGATGTGTGTTGTGTTGGCTACAGATGTGTGTTGTGTTGGCTACAGATGTATGTTGTGTTGGCTACAGATGTGTGTTGTGTTGGCTACAGATGTGTGTTGTTGTGTTGACTACAGATGTGTGTTGTTGTGTTGACTACAGATGTGTGTTGTTGTGTTGGCTACAGATGTGTGTTGTTGTGTTGGCTACAGATGTGTGTTGTGTTGGCTACAGATGTGTGTTGTTGTGTTGACTACAGATGTGTGTTGTGTTGGCTACAGATGTGTGTTGTGTTGACTACAGATGTGTGTTGTGTTGGCTACAGATGTGTGTTGTGTTGACTACAGATGTGTGTTGTGTTGGCTACATATGTCTGTTGATGTGTTGACTACAGATGTGTGTTGTTGTGTTGACTACAGATGTGTGTTGTTGTGTTGACTACAGATGTGTGTTGTGTTGACTACAGATGTGTGTTGTTGTGTTGGCTACAGATGTGTGTTGATGTGTTGGCTACAGATGTGTGTTGTTGTGATGGCTACAGATGTGTGTTGTTGTGATGGCTACAGATGTGTGTTGTTGTGTTGGCTACATATGTGTGTTGTGTTGACTACAGATGTGTGTTGTTGTGTTGGCTACAGATGTATGTTGATGTGTTGGCTACAGATGTGTGTTGTTGTGTTGACTACAGATGTGTGTTGTTGTGTTGACTACAGATGTGTGTTGTGTTGACTACAGATGTGTGTTGTTGTGTTGGCTACAGATGTGTGTTGTTGTGTTGGCTACAGATGTGTGTTGTTGTGTTGACTACAGATGTGTGTTGTTGTGTTGACTACAGATGTGTGTTGTGTTGGCTACAGATGTATGTTGTGTTGGCTACAGATGTGTGTTGTGTTGACTACAGATGTGTGTTGTGTTGACTACAGATGTGTGTTGTGTTGGCTACAGATGTGTGTTGTTGTGTTGGCTACAGATGTGTGTTGTGTTGGCTACAGATGTGTGTTGTGTTGGCTACAGATGTGTGTTGTTGTGTTGGCTACAGATGTGTGTTGTGTTGGCTACAGATGTGTGTTGTGTTGGCTACAGATGTGTGTTGTTGTGTTGGCTACAGATGTATGTTGATGTGTTGACTACAGATGTGTGTTGTGATGGCTACAGATGTGTGTTGTGTTGGCTACAGATGTGTGTTGTGTTGGCTACAGATGTGTGTTGTTGTGTTGACTACAGATGTGTGTTGTGATGGCTACAGATGTGTGTTGTGTTGACTACAGATGTGTGTTGTGTTGGCTACAGATGTGTGTTGTTGTGTTGGCTACAGATGTATGTTGATGTGTTGACTACAGGGCCCACTTGCACAAAGCGATCTTAGGGCTAAGATGATCGTAACTCCCACACATTGACATTGGCTTACGGTCGTCTTAGCGCTAAGATCGCTTTGTGTAAGTGGGCCCAGATGCATGTTGTGTTGGCTACATGTGTGTGTTGTTGTGCTGACTACAGAATTGTGTGTTGTTCTCTGGCAGATGTTGATGATATGGAGTCCAGGACGACAGAGGAGACCCAGTTCAAGGGCTATGACAAGAACGGTGATGGTTTCCTGCAGGGCAGTGAGTTGAAGAAGTGGCTGGTGCAGGACAACATGGACTCTGCTGTGGAGGAGGTGGACCACCTCATGGATGTGGCAGACGGGGACAAAGATGGCTTCCTCACCTTCCCCGAGATCAGGGAACACCAGGAGGAGTTTGTCAGCAGCCAGGCAACAGATTATGGCACGACATTGGAGAAAATGAGAGACGAGTTGTAACTGTGTCCTGCTCTAGACGTGTACATACTCTCTTTTTCATTCTTCACCATGGCAGTTTCTTGTCATGTTGCCATGTTATTTGAATCATGAGTGGTGTGCTGCTTGTCTGTCTGAATGGAAGTGTGTAACCGATAGCTTTCTTGTAAAACTCCATAGATGTATCCTGCTTCTGACTGAAAACAGTAGCTTGGGTACCCAGTGTGCTTTAACCAGACACAAATACAGACATAAATGAGACAGAACTACAGACACGGCAACAAACACGACGACAGACAAACATTCAGACACACCTATAAACACAACTTCAGACACATCAACAGTAACACCTACAGACACATCAAACACCGGCAACAAACAATTCCAGACAAAATCTCATTAAGATCAGATCTATTACGCTGATAGCATACCTCTCCACACAAACAACTGAGGACTCATTCATGAAGAGTCGCGTCCAGTGAATGTTCTAATCAGCCAATCAGCATCAAGGCTTTTCATTTCTCAGCAGAGTGAGCAAGGCATTCAGACAAGCATTTCTGAATTTGATATCTCGATATTGATCGAAAACAACAACTTCTGAATGTAGATCAATAATTCTTCATTTAACTGGACAGTCAGACTTCACTCAGGGTTCATGTGACGTGACTTCCTATGGAAAGGTCTGTCCTCAGAGAGGTGTTAGACCTGAGTAACAGACCTTAATTTTATGATCAATACAGAACCACAGAGAGACACACAAACCAAAGAGACAAGCCCTTCTACTTACTTAATCACCAAGCACAAGGAAGAAACCGCCATACTTTTATCCTTTTAAGAATCATTTGAGACAGGAGGCACTTTATGATGTGCTTTAATGAATGTAAGGCACTGGGCGTGTATTACAGGGGAGGGTGGGTCAGAGGTAATCAGGGGAGGGTCCCCCCAAAAATTACAGTCTCTATGGGAGGGTCATAAACAATATCTACACATATTTTGGGAGGGTCATGACAATGGACATTTTATAATAAAATATAACATGCTTTTGCATTTTGTCTTTTGAGGGAGGGTCATCCAAAAAAGGTACAAGGTCATGGGGAGGGTTGTCCAAAAATGTGACAAGCATTAGGGGGTCTTTATTTTCTGTACATAAGTGCATAAAAAAACTCTAAAATACACGCACACACGCACACACACACACACATATATATTCATACCCCTGCAATAAATGACCGGTCCCTAGCTACTTACAGTGTATTGTTCTGGTGTACAGGCCTGACCTGAATTCTTCAAGCTACTAGTTGCATCACAGGAGAGTGACATAGCTACATACACTTCACGTTTTAATTCTTCCAGTCAGATGTATATATTTGTACTGAAAAGGCTTTAAACATCATCCTGACGTGCCATGTAATGAAAAGTTGTTGTTTTCATGAAATATTTGAACATATTGTAGTTGTCATGAAATATTGGAATATAAGGAATGTATGAAAGAGGCATTAGACATGGATGTTGCTGTGTGGAGACAAGGGGGGTGACTCTTCAGGATGTGAATGAATGAAATCCAATGTCTGATATCAACATAATGTTTAATGGCATTATTTACTGGTCATTGTCTGGTGACGTGGTTGGTGTTTGTTGTTGCATAGAGGTACCTGGACCATTTATGTGTTATAGTCAGGTAGACATCAAACAATGGTTGGAATATGAGGACCAAGGTATTGTGTGTGTTGACCCTTCATGGAGGAGAATGTGGTGACTGGTTACCTACAAGTGGCTTGGTTACCTGCAAGTGGCTAGGTTACCTGCAAGTGGCTAGGTTACCCGCTAGTGGCTAGGTTACCCGCTAGTGGCTAGGTTACCCGCTAGTGGCTAGGTTACCTGCAAGTGGCTAGGTTACCCGCTAGTGGCTAGGTTACCCGCAAGTGGCTAGGTTACCTGCAAGTGGCTAGGTTACCCGCTAGTGGCTAGGTTACCTGCAAGTGGCTGGGTTACCCGCTAGTGGCTAGGTTACCTGCAAGTGGCTAGGTTACCCGCTAGTGGCTGGGTTACCTGCAAGTGGCTAGGTTACCCGCTAGTGGCTAGGTTACCTGCAAGTGGCTGGGTTACCCGCTAGTGGCTAGGTTACCTGCAAGTGGCTAGGTTACCCGCTAGTGGCTGGGTTACCCGCAAGTGGCTAGGTTACCTGCAAGTGGCTGGGTTACCTGCAAGTGGCTAGGTTACCCGCTAGTGGCTGGGTTACCCGCTAGTGGCTAGGTTACCTGCAAGTGGCTAGGTTACCTGCAAGTGGCTGGGTTACCCGCAGGTGGCTAGGTTACCCGCAGGTGGCTAGGTTACCCGCAAGTGGCTTGGTTACCCGCAAGTGGCTGGGTTACCTGCAAGTGGCTAGGTTACCCGCTAGTGGCTGGGTTACCCGCTAGTGGCTAGGTTACCTGCAAGTGGCTAGGTTACCTGCAAGTGGCTGGGTTACCCGCAGGTGGCTAGGTTACCCGCAGGTGGCTAGGTTACCCGCAAGTGGCTAGGTTACCCGCAAGTGGCTAGGTTACCCGCAAATGGCTTGGTTACTTGCAAATGGCTAGGTTACCTGCAACTGGCTAAGTTACCTGCAAGTGGCTAAATTACCTACAAATGGCTTGGTTACCTACATATGCCCAGGTACCTGCCTAGGTTACCTGCGAACTGGTTGGTTACCTACAAGATCACTTACCGACTACAAATGGCAGGTTTCCTACAGATGGAAACATAAAAATGCGAGGTTACTTACAGATTGATTTACTGTAAACTGGGGGTTCTGTTGAGCATGTTGCCTTGTAGACCAGCTAGTGACCTGGGCAACCACACTTTAACTTGGAAACTGACATGGTCACCTGACTTTCAAATATCTCTCTGGTGATGAGGACCTATTTTATGATCAAATTTATTTGTTATTTTAAAGCTTTCAATCTTTATTTGTTGTTAAGCGAAAAGATCAAAGCCTGCTTTTTTTCAAATATTGTTGTTGACTTCATCTTATATCAAACACAGCATATGATTCAAAATGCAAACTGTCAAATGCATGGAGCGCTTGAACAAAATGGGGAGTAATATTGATTGTCAAGCTAGACTGGCCAGGTGGAGGTATTTTTATGAACATGAAAACAATGTTGACTCATTAAGTGGCAGATCAAGAGACTGAGCCCAAAGTATCTACTTATGACATACTATACTTCTAATTGAGAAATAAAATTATGACTAGGTGTCACCTGAATGTACAGTGACCCAGGGGACCAATGGTATGTATGACCTAATTGGGGTTTCCACTTAAACACTTCTGGTTGTCCAGTTTCCAGTGATGATAAATACAGTCCAGACTCAGCAAGAGTGGCTACTCATTCCTTTTTCTGTTTCTACTTAATGAGATTCAACTGGATTAGAACTGAATAGAATTCCACGGTAAGGCCTTGGCAGTTGATGTGGCAGTTTCACCATCCAACCAAACCCAGTGAAATCAGTCAAAACACTTCCAATCCCACTATGTTCATCTAGGGTTACAGAGAATCATGGAGCCTTGAGCTTGAGAGTAGTACCCAGAGATGAGGCTCCACATTCGCCTGTGGTACCCAGAGATTAGGCTCCACTCTCACCTGTTTTACCCAGAGATTAGGTTCCTCTCTGGCCTGTGGTACACAGAGATAAGGCTCCACTCTGGCCTGTTTTACCCAGAGATTAGGTTCCTCTCTGGCCTGTGGTACCCAGAGATTAGGCTCCACTCTAACCTGTGGTACCCAGAGATGGGCTCCACTCTGGCTTGTGGTACCTGGAGATTATGCTCCACTCTGGCCTGTGGTACCCGGATATTAGGCTCCACTCTGGCCTGTGGTACCCAGAGCTGACATGGGATAGTAGGAGTAGGAGTCTGATCAACAGATAGTATAGAGAGTGTGGTCGGAATAAAGAGACAGAGAGAGGGTGGGAGGAAAAGATATAAAGAAATGAGAATTTGCACTTGTTGATTTCTAACAGTACTACATGTTGCTGACATATGTTTCCTTTGTAGTAAAGTAATCATGTCTGTGATTAAATTACATAAACTACCCATAATGTGTTTGTGTTTGATTGCTGAATGAGTGTCTGAAACAGACCTGGGAGAAGGTGCTGTGTGTAGGAGATAATGGCAGCAAGGTGTGGATCCGCATACACAATTCCAAACAGTCCACTTTCTATCAATGCTGACACACATATCTGTATCTAAATACTGGGCACCATGTTCATAGGAACAGCCAAGTATCTGGGTGAACAGGCACATTTCAAACAAAGTCACTTGCCTGAGGAGACACCACATGCTTTATCGATAATGTGTATCCAGTACCGGACCATGTGTACAGTCGAGTATCTATCAAGGGCATCCAGTACTGTACAGTCCAGTATCTATAAAGGGCATCCAATACTGTACAGCCCAGTATCTATTAAGGGCATCCAGTACTGTACAGCCCAGTATCTATTAAGGGCATCCAATACTGTACAGCCCAGTATCTATCAAGGGCATCCAGTACTGTACAGCCCAGTATCTATCAAGGGCATCCAATACTGTACAGCCCAGTATACATCAAGGGCATCCAATACTGTACAGTTCCCGTGAAGATCCGGGTAAGAATATATCTTCAGCAACCCATGCTTGTCGTAAAAGGCGACTAACGGGATCGGGTGGTCAGACCAGCTGACTTGGTTGATGCATGTCATCAATCCCACATTGTGAGGATCGATGCTCATGATGTCAATCACTGGATTTCTGGTCCAGACCCGATTAATTACAGACCGCCGTCATATAGCTTGAATATTGCTGAGTGCGGCGTTAAACAACCAACCAACCAACTGTACAACCGGTATACATCAAGGGCATCCAATACTGTACAGCCCACTATCAAGGGCATCCTGTACTGTACAGCTCAGTATCTATAAGGGCATCCAATACTGTACAGCCCACTATCAAGGGCATCCTGTACTGTACAGCCCAGTATCTATCAAGGGCATCCAGTACTGTACAGCCCAGTATCTATCAAGGGCATCCAATACTGTACAGCCCAGTATCTATCAAGGGCATCCAGTACTGTACAGCCCAGTATCTAATAAGGGCATCCAATACTGTACAGCCCAGTATCTATCAAGGGCATCCAGTACTGTACAGCCCAGTATCTATCAAGGGCATCCAGTACTGTACAGCTCAGTATCTATCAAGGGCATCCAGTACTGTACAGCCCAGTATGGGTGGTGGGGGTGGTGTGTAGTGGGTGGCACATGGGTGGTGGGGGTGGTGGGTCGTACATGGGTGGTGGGGGTAGTATGTAGTGGGTCGTACATGGGTGGTTGGGATGGTGGGAAGTGGGTCGTACATGGGTGGTGGGTAGTGGGTCGTACATGGGTGGTGGGGTGGTGGGTAGTGGGTCGGACATCAGTAGTGGGGTGGTGGGTAGTGGGTCGTACATGGGTGGTTGGGATGGTGGGTAGTGGGTCGTACATGGGTGGTGGGGTGGTGTGTAGTGGGTCGTACAAGGGTGAAGGGGGTGGTGTGTAGTGGGTCGTACATGGGTGGTGGGGGTGGTGTGTAGTGGGTCGTACATTGGTGGTGGGGGTGGTACGTAGTGGGTCATACATAGGTGGAGGGTAGTGGGTCGTACATGGGTGGTGGTGGTGGTGGTGGGTCATACATGGGTGGTGGGGGTATTGGGTCATAAATGGGTGGTGGGGGTATTGGGTCATACATGGGTGGTGGGGGTATTGGGTCATACATGGGTGGTGGGGGTGGTGGGTCATACATGGGTGGTGGGGGTATTGGGTCATACATAGGTGGAGGGTAGTGGGTCGTACATGGGTGGTGGTGGTGGTGGGTCACACATGGGTGGTGGGGGTGGTGGGTCATACATGGGTGGTGGGGGTGGTGGGTCATACATGGGTGGGGGTATTGGGTCATACATGGGTGGTGGGGGTATTGGGTCATACATGGATGGTGGTGGTAGTAGATCATACATGGGTGGTGGGGGTGGTGGGTCATACATGGGTGGTGGGGGTGGTGGGTCATACATGGGTGGTGGGGGTATTGGGTCATACATGGGTTGTGGGGGTATTGGGTCATACATGGGTGGTGGGGGTGGTGGGTCATACATGGGTGGTGGGGGTATTGGGTCATACATGGGTTGTGGTGGTATTGGGTCATACATGGGTGGTGGGGGTGGTGGGTCATACATGGGTGGGGGTATTGGGTCATACATGGGTGGTGGGGGTATTGGGTCATACATGGGTTGTGGGGGTATTGGGTCATACATGGGTGGTGGGGGTATTGGGTCATACATGGGTTGTGGGGGTTTGGGTCATACATGGGTGGTGGGTCATACATGGGTGGTGGGGGTGGTATTGGGTCGTACATGGGTGATGGGGGTGGCGGGTCATACATGGGTGGTGGTATTGGGTCATACATGGGTGGTGGGGGTGGTGGGTCATACATGGGTGGTGGGGGTGGCGGGTCATACATGGGTGGTGGGGGTATTGGGTCATACATGGGTGGTGGGGGTATTGGGTCATACATGGGTGGTGGGGGTGGTGGGTCATACATGAGTGGTGGTGGTAGTAGATCATACATGGGTGGTGGGGGTGGTGGGTCATACATGAGTGGTGGTGGTAGTAGATCATACATGGGTGGTGGGGGTGGTGGGTCATACATGGGTGGTGGGGGTGGTGGGTCATACATGGGTGGTGGGGGTATTGGATCATACATGGGTTGTGGTGGTATTGGGTCATACATGGGTGGTGGGGGTGGTGGGTCATACATGGGTGGGGGTATTGGGTCATACATGGGTGGTGGGGGTATTGGGTCATACATGGGTTGTGGGGGTATTGGGTCATACATGGGTGGTGGGTCATACATGGGTGGTGGGGGTATTGGGTCATACATGGGTGGTGGTAGGGTAGTAGATCATACATGGGTGATGGGGGTGGCGGGTCATACATGGGTGGTGGTATTGGGTCATACATGGGTGGTGGGTGTATTGGGTCATACATGGGTGGTGGGGGTGGTGGGTCATACATGGGTGGTGGGGGTATTGGGTCATACATGGGTGGTGGGTCATACATGGGTGGTGGGGGTATTGGGTCGTACATGGGTGGTGGGGGTGGTATTGGGTCGTACATGGTTGATGGGGGTGGCGGGTCATACATGGGTGGTGGTAGTGGGTCATACATGGGTGGTGGTAGTGGGTCATACATGGGTGGTGGGGGTGGTGGGTCATACATGGGTGGTGGGGGTGGTATTGGGTCGTACATGGGTGATGGGGGTGGCGGGTCATACATGGGTGGTGGTAGTGGGTCATACATGGGTGGTGGTAGTAGGTCATACATGGGTGGTGGGGGTGGTGGGTCATACATGGGTGGGGGTATTGGGTCATACATGGGTGGTGGGGGTATTGGGTCATACATGGGTTGTGGGGGTGGTGGGTCATACATGGGTGGTGGGGGTATTGGGTCATACATGGGTGATGGGGGTGGCGGGTCATACATGGGTGGTGGTATTGGGTCATACATGGGTGGTGGGGGTATTGGGTCATACATGGGTGGTGGGGGTGATGGGTCATACATGGGTGGTGGGGGTATTGGGTCATACATGGGTTGTGGGGGTATTGGGTCATACATGGGTGGTGGGGGTATTGGGTCATACATGGGTGGTGGGGGTATTGGGTCATACATGGGTTGTGGGGGTATTGGGTCATACATGGGTGGTGGGGGTATTGGGTCATGCATGGGTGGTGGGGGTATTGGGTCATACATTGGTGGTGGGGGTATTGGGTCATACATGGGTGGTGGGGGTATTGGGTCATACATGGGTGGTGGGGGTATTGGGTCATACATGGGTGGTGGGGGTATTGGGTCGCAAGTGGGTTGTGGGGGTGATGGGTAGTGGGTAGTGGATCGTACATTGGTGGTGGTAGTGGGTCGCACGTTGGTCGCATGTGGGTGGTGGGTAGTGGGTAGTGGGTCGTACATGGTCGGTGGTATGTGGTCATACATGGGTGGTGGGGGTATTGGGTCATACATGGGTGGTGGGGGTATTGGGTCATACATGGGTGGTGGGGGTATTGGGTCATACATGGATGGTGGTAGTGGGTCGCAAGTGGGTTGTAGGGGTGGTGGGTAGTGGGTCGTACATGGGTGGTGGTAGTGGGTCGCACGTGGGCAGTGGGTAGTGGATCGTACATGAGTGGTGGTGGGTAGTGGGTCATACATGGGTGGTGGTGGGTACTGGGTCGTACACGCACGTTAGTTACAGTTGGTTGTTAGACAAATACTTTGACAAATATATTATTGATTTTATGAGAGCTTCAAATTGATTTCCCTCTCACCACTGGTTGTACACCGCTTTGTGCCGATTTAAGTACATCGTCAGTTTAGTGAGGGAAGAAAGTGGTATCAATTAACAATTTTATAATACGATTGTACACAGCCTTCAGTGCAGAACATACACGTAGGAACATGACACCGTGTGTTACTGAGGGAACGGAGTGTCCTTGGGGTTTGGTGACAAACATCTGATGAAAGCTCAGCGAATGAAGTGAGTCGGCAATATTCCAGTTCTTACACGGCAGACTGTAAATACTCGAGTATGGACCAGATAAACCAGTGGTTGATAGCACGAGCAATGACCCACGCCATTGGGACACGAGGTCCTCCTGATAGATCTAACTAGCAAGTCATAGATCGGGCTATATATTACAACACACACGAACGGAGGTACGTGCTTGACTGTACTGGGTGTACGTGCTCGACTGTACACAACAACATATACAAGGGGGTATACTTGCGAGACTGTACAGAACAACGTACAGTGGGGACCCGTGGAGATTCCGAGTTCCGTGGGTGACCTAGCAATCTAACCTGGTCGGAAGAGGCGACTCGGCTGATTGCCTCCCAACATACCCCAACAACGTGGACATTGTACATGATATCAGAGACTATACAATGTCATATGGTCGCTGATGATGTCAGCTATTGCATTGTCTGGTCCACAGACAACGGGAAGCAAGTGGGCACATTTTGAGGACATGGTACTTTCAAGGTAGTTTACAATTTAATGTTTGTTTGTTTGTTTCTTGTTTATAAATAAGCGTATATGAATAGTGTAAGTAAATTAGATATTTTCTATGATGTGTGAATTCCGATTATCTGATTCTCCAGGACAGGCAATTATATCCCATTAGTTAGACGTCCCAATTGTTAGACAATTTTACTTAGGCAAAGAGGGATTGTACCTACAGGTGTAATGGATCAGTCCTAATTAGATTAAAGTACTGAGTAGGGATAGGGGACTCACAGTTTAGGGAGTATATATGTTACAATTTCGTTTAATTAATCTAAAATACCTTACTCTCAGCACATGTAAACTGAGTTGAGTTGAGATTATCTACTCATCAAACAAATATAAATGATCTTGGGGTACGTATCATTAAATACCAAAAACTGACCTAAATTAATAAATCAAATACTCAAAAGCTCCAACGTCCTAACTAAGGCAGGCAAACAAATAACCTTCTTGTGGATACCCGCCCACGTAGGGATATACGGTATTGAAAACGCCGATAAGGCAGCCAAACTATCCCTCAAAATCCAAGAAATAAGCTTAAACTTACCCATCTCAAAATCAGAAATTAAAAGCGTAAACATGCAAAAAATCACCAAAAAATGGCATAACCTATATCTAAACTCAAATTGTCAAATAAAAAAAGTACTAAGCAAACCACTAACCAAACCAAAAATTCTCCATCCATCAATTTTTTTTATAAAAAACACACTACAGGTAACTGCCCACACTGCAAAGAAGTAGAAACCCCAGAACACGCACTCATCCACTGCACACACTACCTAACACATCAAACCGCATTACACACCACCCTCAATCTAAACAAGGCTCTCACTCTAGAAACAATACTAAACCCACAAAATAAACAAGAAAACTTCAAGGCCTTAGGCGTATTCTTAATAAAAACGGAATTAATAAAACGCATCTAAAAACACTATAATCTACCAAATCAAAATCACATAAACAAACAAACATCCACCATACCCAGCTCCCTTAGTTGTACTCCCCAACCCCATCGGCATCTATTCCGAATCTCAAAATTCTCAAATTCTATATGAGCAACCCCTAAAGCCCCCTCTTGGGTTGCACACTTCACTTTCGCCCCTTTCACATTTAATGGCCTGGCCGGGCCCGTGTGCGAAATACGCATCAGTCGGAAAAGTTGTTAGGTTTTGGATGTGAGAATCCCAGGTGAGATGTTCATCAAAAATAAGTCCTAAGAATTTGGTTTGTTTTTGAAATTTGATTGATTGTTTAGCTGGAGGATTGGGGAGGCGGGTTTCATGTTTTTATGTTTATAGGCACTCGAATAGATCGTTTCCTCCTGCGGATCTTCTTGTTTTCGGTTTAGCTCTGTCAGTTCTAACTGAGTTGTAGTTAGGTAGTGTGAATTTGGATTTTTTTGAGAATTTGGTTTCCTGTATACAAGCAAATACATGTGAGGGCCTTTATTTAGTTTAAATTTAGTTTTTAGTTCATGGCCGTGGGAGGTGAGTCCGTTGGCGTTTCACTGAAAAATATTTAGTCCTTCCATTATTGGGTTCGGGTGATTGGTGATTTAGTTTTTAGTTTTTATTTTATTCGGTGAGTTCTTTTTGATAGAGGTTAAAGAGGAAGAAGGGAAGAGCGACATTAATATTAAAGTGTCTATTTAAAGCTGCTTTGCTTTGTTTGTCAGATCTTATCTGGACTATTCCATTTAAAAGTCTGAGGTAACAAGCATAAGTATTAGTGTGCACCCAACCGTTTAAAGTGTTGTTATAAGCTGTCTAACTATTGGGACGTCTAACTAATGGGAGGACACCTAGGTTACATATCACACTCCCGAATATGTATGTTCCTGACGCTTTTATTATGAATATGGTGAGCGTATTTGTTATTTTATTTAGCAACCCATGCTTGCCGTAAAAGGCTACTTATACCCCGATTCCACTAGACGGCGATCCACGGTGATCCATGCGATCTGAAGGAGCGCCATAGATCGCCATATAATGAGGCGATATAGGGGTACTTGTGATCCGATTGCGATCCAATAGCGATCTATGTGATCCGATAGCGACTTGATGGCGCTTGATTGCCACCCAACCACCCCAAAATGTGGCGATCCCGCTCCATTCGCGATCCGATGTGATCAGGATGCGCTCCAATGGCGCTCTATTGGCGATCCGATGGCGATCATTGTGATCTATGGCGCTCTTCTCTGATCCGATAGCGATCGAGTGCGATGTATGAAGATCCGTTAGAGCTCAAGAAGCGCTCCAGGCGATCCTATTGCGACCTGATCGCCGCAAAGGGGCCCGATCCTATAAAAACCTGTGGCGTTCAGCCGCGCTCTATCTATTCCAAATCTAAAAATTCCCAAATTCTATATAAGCAACCCCTAAAGCCCCCTCTTGGGTTGCACAGACCACTTTCGACCCTTTCGGAAACACATTAAATGGCCTGGCCGGGCCAGTGTGCGAAATACGCATCAGTCGGAAAGCGCACGTTAAATCTCCAAAGTAAGTAAGTAAGTAAGCCGCGCTCTTCAGTTCTGTGCTTGGCAGCAGACGGGTATCACCATGAACCATAGAGATGCTGCCATATTACAAGTGATTTACAATCTCGTGAACCATGCCACCGTGAACCAGCAGATTGCTTTTCTGGCCCAGCAGCCTCGAAGAAGGAGAAGGAAGGCTTTTTGGGTGAGACCCTGGAGCGCCATCTAATCGTGAACCAAACAGTGAAGCACAATCAGAGCGCCATCGGAGCGCAATCGGAGCGCCAATGCATCTCCGAGGAGCGCCATCAGGTCGCCATGGAGCGCCGAAGATCGGTAGGCCAGCTTTTATGGCGATCGGCGGCGCTCTATGGTGATCCGATAGCGCTCCGATTGCGACCTTGGCGATCAAGTAGCGCTCCGATGGCGATCGAGGCGATCAATTAGCGATCTGATGGCGCTCTGGGCGGAGCGCCACGGATCTTTGTGCAGGGGAGTCAACCGGCGGCGACCTTGGCGATCATGGAGATCCGTTAGCGCTTTTGGCGATCTTGGCGCTCCATTTGGGTGGGTCGGTCGCGTAAGGCGCCGCGATTCGCAGTACAGAGTTACGTCCGGTTATGTTTCTAGGTTTGTCCGCACCATACCCGTGCTCGTGGGTTTCACCGAAGTGGTAAACGTCTAAGACCTGTATCACTTCGGGCTTTCCTCCCACATTTCAGCTGACACGCCGCAATATAACTGGACTACTGTTAAAACCGGCGTTTAACCCAACTCACTCACTGTACGAGTTGTTAGTAGCTGGTTTAACACTGTCAAGGCGTTTGATTTGCTCTATAAGCTGTCTGTCGTGACTATTGTAGCTTGACAACATCTCACTTATACCTCGTTCCTGCCTTTCTACTTGCCAACAGTTGAGGCATGTTGAGGATATTTATCCTTCAAGGAATGATGGAAGCCATTTGTCATTGTTAGCGCTGGTTACAGTGGATTCCTTTGACATGCAGAGACAGGTCATAGTTAGATTGTGTCAGACATGATTCACACATTAAATCAATGTTAAATTAGTGAAGTGAAGTGAAGTGTAAAACAAAAGCTTATGCAGATTCATTTATACCAGCTACAACACAACTTTGGAATATGTTACCAGAAAACCTAACGGGGGCAGAGACCGTTACAAAACTTAAGAATTTGCTTCACGTAAGGGGAGATAATGATACACACGGGGATTTAAAATATGGAAACAGATTATGTCAAATTATTCACAGTCGCCTCGGGCTTTGCTGCAGCGATCTTAACGCAGATCAGTATGGTAGATATATTTTGGATACAAAAACTTATTCCTGTGGATATCTGATAATCATACCGAAGATGATTTCACTTCTTTTTTGTGTGTACAAATTACTATGTTCTTCGAAATGAAATTATTTTTACCAACATGGTTATTCTTTACAAACAGTGCTACGCGGAAATTCATATTTGAGTAAAGAGCAAATCCAAACATTAGATTTTATTCAAAACTTCTTATTAAAAACTGGCAGATTTTCAATTAAATGAATTGTTTAACATGAACTGCAATTTTTTTAATTACATATAAACATCTAGCTTGACATGTCAAATTCATTTGTTACATCTAACCTTCATTGGTGCATTTATTGTATTATGTCTTCTGTGTAATGCATGGTGAGTTGGTGAAATGGGGTTTAACGTCGCGTCCAAGATTATTGCACTTATATAGCGAGGTGCATGTGTTTGTGTGGCTGCTTAAGCTTGTACTAGTCCGGACTGATGCCGATTTATAGTGCTAGCCCACTGAGATATCATGCCGCAGTTTAACATGAATACCCCACTCAGACACAGTATACTGACTCCGAGCTGACCAGTCCTTGTTTTAACCCCTTAATGCCGAGCGCCAGACAGGGTAACAACAAGTGCCATCTTTTAACGTATTTTGGTATGATGCGGTCGGGGGATCGAACCCCGGACCTTCTGCTCTCCGGGCGGACGCTCTACCACTAGACCACGGAGGCGGTCGTAATGCATGGAGCAGTATTAACATAAGCGCTGGACCAGACAGCCAGTGGCTGACGGCATGAGCAACGATCTACGAAGGCTCGACAACAATCAGAACACATAACATGACCACTTACCCCACTCCTATTATGTCGCCTTTTAGGACAGCCAGGGTATACCGAGGACCTATTCTACCCCGGAAATTGCGTCACTAAATTGTAATGAAGTCATAATAATAGGTGACGTGTTATATCACTTGAGTTGAAAATTCCAAGACAGTTAAATCAACTTGCCAATATACTCTTAAAAATTACTTCACTGATACCATTACCATTAAATTTTACTGTCCAATTCATTGATAACTTACCTGAGAGACATGTCCTTTTCATAAAACCGAACAAGGCACCTCTCTGGACGTTCCAAGTTCTAGCCCACTTTGACGCATTTTCGTTCACACTGTCGATGTTTTAAGCCACCTCTGTTTGTTTTGGACAGATCTTCCATATATTTTAGACATTTCAACTCATCAGCACCTACTGTTATTTCGAACTGTGCATTCGGACCCGTTCTAAGATATCTGTGCTCATCACCAGCCCTCGGAGCACAATTGAGGCCAATTAAATACACTATTGTATCAAATAGCTATTGGGGGTACCCTCCCCCAGCATCCCCTTCTCCCACAACATGTCTTCCTGGTCCACACTGATCACTTCAGCCTGTCTTTTCTCTATCCCGATTCCCTGTCTTGCCAAATATTTCATTCTCGCATCTTGCACGGACCTTAATCCTTGATTCGAAAAAATTCAGTTGAGTGCCGTTTCTTCTGATATATATATATAATATTGTAGGGATGAGACAATTTCATAAAGAGTATTTCCGCGATATTCCTCGCCCTTCTGATTTCTGACCTCAATCATAAAATACATCAATATTTTATACTCCCTTTCCTCCTGAGCCAGTGACACAGTGTCAGGGTTCAATACCATGTTCTCTGTTCTGCCCCTCTTACGCCGTTCCTTCACCCACCCTTGAAACAAGCGAACTGCCCACATACTCTTGTTTTCAGTATTTGATGAGTATGCTGAATCACACTTCTTAATGTCAATATCAGATGTTGGCTTGGCAAACCTTGCTGAACTTGAATCTACGCTTTCTTCAGAAGCGCCAGTGATTGGGGTATTTCTGATGAAGTTAATGGCGAGCGAGTGTTACAAGGTAGCATATTAACAAGGTGAGATTCAATTGCTTGGCTTGCTTTGTACAGATCAGTGTCAGAACCTGAGGAAAACCCTTCGAGATCAATCATCTCACATTTACCAACATCAAAGTTTGGAAGTTCATTTGAATCCAAATTGAGTAAAGTTTCAAAATCTGAATTAACGTCCACCTCAAAAGTGTTCGTGAAACTATTTTGTGTGACAAATACATCGTTGTCGGAATCATTCGCACTCATGCTGACAATCCTGCCGAGTCGAACGTCGTTCATCGAAAATCGTAAAATATCATGTTGCATGTGCAGATATACACACCACACTCCAATAGTTTTGCACGTTTATTGGTGTGTTTTAGCGACTTGGTTTGTCATGACCATGTACAACTAGAACACACCTCCGTTAGTTTGGCACGTGAATATCACTTGAAGATTAGTTTGAGGCATCAACTTGATCAGACTTTGTTTTAAGTAGGAGAAAGTCCTCAATCTCGCGATTATTATCGCACGTGAAACTTGTTCTCGGCCTAACGGCCTTGAACAATCTTAACGTGCGACAATAATCGCGAGATTTCGGACATTCTCCTATACATGCATGATTTAAATGATTGTTTGTCTTTTGTTTAACGTAGCAATCAGCAATATTCCAGATATTACGGAGGTATGTAAAATAACTATCGAGTGTGGACCAGACAATCCAGTGAATGACATCATAAGCATCGATCCACGCATTTGGGACACGATGACATGCAATCAACCAAGTCACCGAGGCTGACCACCCGATCCATATATCGGTATAAAGGAGGCGTGTCTACATTTACTGATATAAAAAAATTAGATGTTTAGAGATCAATAAACTGAATAACAGATATATAATATGAATATGAAATCCCTTAAAGGTGATTTATTGATATCACAATTTCTAAATTCACTATTCATCTCAATTGACACGATGGACTCAGCTATTTAATCGCTAAATTGAACTAAATATAATGTAATAACAATAATTATTACATCATAAATCGATTTTGTGATGTCAATATTTCATTTTGTAATGTCAATAAAAGAATTACAAAATGCAATCCTTCCTTTTATAAAGCTGGATCCACGCCATAGAATGAGTCTTAAAAGGTAATCAACTCCGACTTCTTACCAGGAGATGTTGCGTCCACTCATTCAGACATTAAAACGATAAGTTTATGGGCTGGGTAGTTATTTCGAACTATGTTTCTCATTCAGTTGCAATTTTCGTAACTTATCCATTAATTCAAACGTTGTAAAGAACTTAACAAACGTGCTAAGGACACGCGGCCGCCACAGCTGGGACCAAGAACTGAGCTCCATCTCCTGGTGACATGTCACCAAATGACGTGTGAGGTGAAGTTAAGAAACACCGAAATACCACCCATGTACATTATAATAATAAATATATACAATAACGAGATGTGATTACAGACGGTCAGTCTACGAGCTGTTCCCAATCCAACACTTCTAAAATATTTGAACACTTTCCAGTTGCTATTGAAAAGTCTAAAGTGGCTACGGGCAAATCAATATGAAAGTAAATGAGATGTGGGTAATCTATAGCAAGCATGTTGTCCCCGTCCACGTTTAACATGTGCCTTCTAACAACCTGCGCCTTAATAGCAGTCAATAACAAGGGCATTGTGATAACAGCCAATGAGGAATCGACAACTCGCTACTACTGCTACATCCGGTTCCTATAAGTGTACACGCGAGCACTTGCGTGTTCAGAAAGAGTTGAATCGTTGTTTTCCATTTCTGGACTCTAGTTCTGTAAGTGAAAGTGACAACGTAAGTATTGGGGGTGATTTTGCTTAAATTCGTTTTCTGTACCCGTACAGCAGATGATAAACCACGTGTGTTTTGTTTTTTTTATAGGTTCGTGTGACGATGAAGGGCTTCACGTGTGTGTTGTCAATGTGCCTGGCCATGACGCTGGTACTCGCCGTTACCAAAGTGAATGCAGAGAATAAAGAAAAGATAGCCCCGGCTGCCCACGCCCAACACGACCCCTTGGGGGGAGTGAACGAGACAGCTGACGGGGAGAGGAACAAACATCGCGACCACGAAGCAGTCTTAGGTGAGTTGTAAGTACTGCGTGCCTAAAACTAACTAACCTTTTGTGGGCACTTACAACTGGCACATCATCAATGGAAAGCAGAGTCCACAGTTATCATTTATGGTTATTTAGCATACTGGGGTTGTTATCTACAGGATTCTTCCAATTTCCGACGTTCGTTGTGTGCTAACTCTACTTTTATGATGAATATAAAATATAATACACAATGTAGTTAATGTGTACCCTAATTACACAGAAACAGTGTTCTAGTTTCACCTAGTTATCAGAATGTCTAGACCTAGAAAATAGAAGAATGGAAATGGCCACACAGGCTGTGGAGCACAGTACTCAAGGTTCTAGTTTTGTGGTTGAATTACTGTTTACCGGTACATCACAGTAGAATCACATGCATTCAACCAAGTACAATCCTGTAAGTCACCTCTTACGACAAACATAGTCGCCTTTCGGCACATTGTCGTAAAAGGCGACTAACAGGATCGGGCAGTCAGGCTCGCTGACTTGGTTGATTTATGTGATCATATCCCAACTGCGTGGATCAATGCTCATGATGTCAATCACTGGATTGTCTGGTCCAGACTTGATTATTTACAAATCGCCATCATATAGCTGGAATATTGCGGAAGGCGGCGTTAAACAACAAACAAACATCACATTTGATGTCTTGCTTCATGGACTGTTTGATTGGCATTCTAGAAGTTCATAAATAAGTAAAAAAAGTACAACTTTATGGACAACAACTTCTTGTTTGTTGCAAATAGTGATGTTTCCATGTAGATTCTTACACTGTTATCAAGCGGGAGTGCAATAACAAAGTGATGAGAGGTATATATGCATGACATGATAAGCAGCAGGTTAACATTGACAACAATGGTATTAGATAACAAGTAGCATACAGATAACTGGATGAAGCCAAATGTACAGTAAGGATAACAAATTACACACAGGTAATGAAGCAAACGGGAAGTGAGGGCAGATGTAAAGTAAGGCTAAGGATTAAAGAGATTATACAGTTGTGACAAGCTGATTGTGACCTAATTAAACTAGTTTATTGCTTATTTAGATCTTAATAGGCAGGTGAGGTATAATACCCTTGATCTCTGTTCATCTATGGTTTTTGACGGTTGATTTCTATAGCTTTTGAGAGTTTTCTTGGGGTGAAGTTCTGATGTTTTGTAGAGTGGATTTGTACTTTGTGATACAAATTTGATGGCTAGGGAATTTTTGCTAGTGGTCTGAGAGGGTTGATTTGCTGTCTGCTTTTCTGTTGAAATCTTGTGTTCTTAGATGTGAGTATCTACTGGACGGGAGGTTTCACCAATGTACGACTCACCACAGTCACAGTTAATTTTATAGATTACTCCTCTGGGGGCTTGCTTGTTGGATGGGGGTTGTGGCCATAAGCTTGGAGGATGGTTCTAAGAGATGGGGTGCCCGTGAAGATGGTGTCAATGCTTTTTTTACTTGCTTCATGGAGCTTCTCCGTGTTCAGAAGGGGAAGTGTTTTTTTGTTCATTCATAGCAAGGTGATATCAACCCAACTTTCACATCTTTGTTTTGGGTTGTGTGGTTGTAGTGAAGGGCATTGGCAAGGAGTGAGTCGTCAGCAATATTTGTAAGCTATGTCACAGGCTCTTATGAAGTCATCAAGTCTGGGTCAGACAAACCAGTTGTCTGTGTTAGGAGCAACAATCAATAATGTTAGGGTAAAATGATACATGATCAGCCAAGCTCCAGCTGAGAATTGATCTTTCCCGAGTTAAATTTTGTCTAGACTAACAAGTCTTTGCATAGTCCAATCAAAATCGTGTAACAAAATAGACATCCTGCTCATAAACATGGTTCGTAATCAACATGCACATTTTGGTCAACTGCATGATTTGCAAAGCATGTGTATCGTCAGCTGGGCGTCAAAATAGATTTTGCAAATCTTTGATGTTTTTAATCGAGGTGCTCAACTTATATGATACACTTCGCAGGGTTATACTATAGATCTATTATTATTGCAACTGGTGTCACTACGATTGAGCCTGGAAATTCCAGCCTAGTTTGGCAAGGGTGAAACTGGACTTTTATTTAAGAAATAAACGACTCATGGTCATTGTTTATTGTACAATAAAACATTGCAGCGAGAATAAACCATGTGACGCGCAGCACCAAGTGGTTTATATGCCCTGCAGTGTTTTATTCACCCTCATCTGCGTTGCCCAACTACATGTATGGGGAACAACTCACTAGACACTCCTCTCTTAAAAATATTGTAGTCCAATATACGACGTCATCAAGTTGCAAGCACATGTTTAAAATGACGTCATGTTAGAACAGTGTTTTATCATGAAATGAAACTTGCTTTGTTCTTGATTGTTCTTAGCGATTTATCGTGTAGTTATCTATATGGTCGGATGACACCCTTGCCTCGGGGAGATGTCTTCGTGATATGACTGCTTTGTGGAACAGGGCCTCATGTCGCACGACGATGTTAGTGCTACGTTAGGTGCAAGTAGGGGCCATAGTTACTGTTAAGAGCTGGTCTCTACCAAGGATCATGTCTGGTAATATTTTTTTAAATAAGGGCTGGGTCGACCACGGCTGATTTCGCCCCACGACATGAATACGATCAACCTTACTGAACTAAGCACCAACACTGCGCATATCAGTTTGGGACATGGGTACATACTAAAGCATTAACTTTTGATTGAACATATGTTGTCCAGCGTTCCTGTTTAACGGGATTACCAGTTTTTGACCGGTAAAATTAGGCTTGGACCGGTAATTCATGTGACTGCCAGTCCCTGTGGACCGGCAAATAAAGTACCTTATAAATCTTTGTTGTTGAACAAAACATCAGTGATATTCATATAAGTAAATTTTTCGAACAAAGTCAGTCTGTTACCATCAGGGTTTCCCCATGTCTATTTCTAGGTGAAATATCCATTTGTAGTGACTTTGTCTCGAAATATTAAAAAAAGAAGAGAAACTTGTGACTGAAGTCTTGGTGAGTGAGGTATGGATCTAACTAAGTTACTTCAGACATGACATCTTTGCACTGAACATGATTTTAAAAAAATAAAAACCAAATAATTTCCATATGTTTTTTTATTTGTTAAAAGCTGGGACTGGTAAAATTTAGGGGGACTGGTAATTTTTAGAGTTGCCAGTCCACAAGGACTGGCAGTTTCAAAAGCCAGCGGGAACACTGGTTGTCCCTGGAAAACTACAAAAAGACAAAGGTCCAGGGCCCCAATACACATGGTGATCTTAGCGCTAAGCTGATCTTAACCTCTTACTTTTTACATAGACATAGGACAGTCATAGCACTAAGATTGTGAATTGGCACCCAGGTCATGTCCCATTATTCCACCCTTGGAACATGCAACCTGCAGAAAACATTATGAAACTCAAAGTTAAGGATAAAATTATAAGTATGATCACTAAATTAGATGGAATTATTCTGATCAGTCATATATTTGATCAGTGGTACTAATATGAATAATTCAGTCCTCATGGATGATGATGTGTCAGAAATTGTCATGCTTCATTTTCAACTTTTTGTCCAACATTCTAAAATGACTTGGCTTTTGGTGGATAAGCACAATCACGAATACCTCAGCTCAGCATAAAAGTAGGTCTGTTCGAAGGATGTTGTTTATGTGTCAAGGACTCTATGATCCATACTGAAATGTCACATCATAATAGAATAAAGAAGTTGTCATCCATACAATATCTTGTCTGTACTGCTGGCTGTATGAGTTGCTGAGGTTGTGACGTGGATGATGTGCCACATGCAACATAGCTCCACAGGCAATGAGGCCAGTCACAGGGGAAGCATGAAAAGCCATACAAACAGCCTATTGACTCTGGTATTTTGCTTAATAGGCAGCCAGCCTGTGCCTCTTTTGTCCATTGATTCTTGGCAGCCTCCTTTGTGGCGACGAGACCCAGGATGCAACAGCTGCCAGCATCTCGGTTCAGGGTATACTGTTAGTACATGTATTTGGTTCTTCATCTTAAACACTAGAAGAGTATTTCATAAGACTTTGGGATAGCTGCAGACATGGGTGGATTAGGCCCCCCAAATTTTTGTTTTGGGTAACCTGAACCCCTGTTGTACTTGTGATCCAATTGTTTTATCACAGATGGAGTGAGTATGGTATTCTGCTGCTTTTAGCAATATTCCAGCAGTATCACGGTGATGGGCACCAGAAATGGGGTTTATTGTACCCATGTAGGGAATCAAAGACAGATCTTCTGCAGGACAAGCAGATGCTTTAACCACTTGGCTGGATAACCACTTCTTACCACAGCTGGTATTCACTGCGTGCCCAAGTGTCTCACATCTCTCATGCAGTAAGATCAGGACAGTGATCTACATGTCTAAGCTACAATAAGCAGGACTCTTGTGCATTAGCACACACAGGTGGCCCAATCTTCTAAGGCGCCATGATTCGCTGTGCAGAGTTGCATCCTTTGGACATACCAGAAACCTATGATTGTGGGTTCAAATCCCGGTTTGCCCCAATTATGTTTTTAGATTTGTCAGCACCATACCTGTGCTCGTGGGTTTTACCGAAGTGGTAAAATGTCTGAGACCTCAGTCACTTCAGGCTTTCCTTAAGCTGAAACATGCCTAGTCATATGTGGTAATATGTTGATGAAATGCAGGGGTCCGATAAAGAACTTTGATGAATTGAAACTTCCAAAACATGTAAGCTACATGACAATATGAACATCTGAAGTGATGTGTTCTGCAATTATAACTTACAAGAGAAGGAACAGCTACGACTCAAACCACTTGGCAGATGACAGGAAGGACTGTTTGTTTGCTAAAACAGAATTGTCTGAAGCTTATGGGGAATCCCCTAATTTAATGATATGCCAATGGAGATTTTACACTTAAGGTATCTTAAGTTAATGATTGCTTAAGGACGACTTTGTAAAACCCATAATAAAGGTCCCATTAACAAATAAAACATTCAGAATTTAAAGTTTGTTTGTTGTTTAACGCCGCACTCAGCAATATTCCATCTATATGATGTCAGTCTATAAATAATCTGGACCAGACAATCCAGTGATTGACATCACGAGCATCGATCCATGCAATTAAGATACGATGACATGCATCAACCAAGTCAGCGAGTCTGACCACCTGGTCCTGTTAGTCGCTTCTTTACGACAAGCATAGTCACCTTTTACAACATGCATGGGTTGGTGAAGACCTATTCTACCCCAGATCTTCACGGGTCCAGAATTTAATGAACCAGTAGGGTTAATGAACCCTTAATTAATGAAGTTTCGATACACTGGGTCCTGGTCTCTCTATAATGTTATGGGCTCATATTTCTTTTAAAAATCACATATGGACACCAGTGGCAACTAAAAATATAGCACTTAAAATACAGGCACATTTCCCAGAATTCTCTGCCATCCTTGAATCATTGTCTGAATTGCCACCAACCAAAGAGTTAAAAAATTCATAATTTGAAACCCCTCTGAAGTAAGAATTCAAAATTAGAACCCCAATGTTTAACTTTGGCATGTGCCAAGTGTGATTGTTTGTTTGTGTGTTTATTGTTTAATGCCACACTCAGCTATATGATGTCGGTCTTAAAATAATCAAGTCTAGACCAGACAATCCAGTGATTGACATCATGAGCATCAATCGATGCATTTGGGATATGATGACATGTATCAGCCTGACCACCTGATCATGTTAGTCGCCTCTTGTGACAAGCATAGTCGCCTATGCATGGGATGCTGAAGACCTATCCTACCCCAATCTTCACAGGTCAGGGATGTAGACGCTAGATGCTAGATGTAGGTGCTAGATGTAGATGTAGACGCTAGATGTAAGATGTAGATGCTAGATGCTAGATGTAGACGCTAGATGCAGATGCTAGATGTAGACGCTAGATGTAGACGCTAGATGCTAGATGTAGACGCTAGATGTAGATGTAGACGCTAGATGTAGATGTAGACGCTAGATGTAGATGCTAGATGTAGACGCTAGATGTAGATGTAGACGCTAGATGTAGATGTAGAAGCTAGATGTAGAAGCTAGATGTAGATGCTAGATGTTGATGCTAGATGTTGATGCTAGATGTAGACGCTAGATGTAGATGCTAGATGCTAGATGTAGATGCTAGATGTAGATGTAGACGCTAGATGTAGATGTAGACGCTAGATGTAGATGTAGACGCTAGATGTAGATGTAGACGCTAGATGTAGATGTAGATGCTAGATATAGATGTAGATGCTAGATGTAGATGCCAGATGCTAGATGTAGATGCTAGATGTAGATGCTAGATGCTAGATGTAGACGCTAGATGTAGATGTAGATGCTAGATGTAGATGTAGATGCTAGATGTAGATGCCAGATGTAGATGTAGATGCCAGATATAGATGTAGATGCTAGATGTAGATGCCAGATGCTAGATATAGATGCTACCGGTAGATAAGTGTGTGTCAGACTCTGTATTGGTACATCTGGTTCCAGGATCCCGGGAAGAAGCACAGGATGCTGATGACCTGACTCCGGAGCAGGCCAAGAACAGATTGGAGAAGCTGGCCAAGACACACGACCTGGATAAAGATGGACGCATCTCTAAGGAAGAGTTCATCACATGGATCCTGCAGTCTCTCAAGTAGGTGGAGAAAATGTCCATGTGCAATGTCTACTTGTATTTCAGTGTTTGATTGTAATCTGCATGCCAGCTGTGGTTACTGTATCCAATCATCTGATTATTGTTTAATATAACCTGTGTTCTATGTCACTACTCGGGGCCATGGGTCTTCCAGTTAGAAAGTCAGACTTTGAAATCTCCAATTGGAGACAATTCCATGAAATGTTTCTTACCTCTGTATGCTGATCTCTTCCTTATTCACTTGGACCCCTGAAGATCCGGGGTAGAATAGGTCTTCAGCAACTCATGCTTGCCGTAAAAGGTGACTATGCTTGTCACAAGAGGCGACTAACAGGATCGGGTGGTCAGGCTCGCTGACTTGGTTGATACATGTCATCGTATCTCAATTGTGTGGATTGATGCTCATGGTGTCAATCACTTGATTGTCTGGTCCAGACTTGATTATTTACAGACTGCCGTCATATAGCTGGAATATTGCTGAGTGCGCCATATAACAACAAACCAACCAACACTTATTCGTTTTGATAGGCCAGGTCATGTCATGTCCTTTATAATCCTGCTTAGATATTTACAAGGCAACTAAGAAATAAGCACAATGTCTTCCTACAATGTTTGACCATGGTCAGATGCTAGGAGTTAATACATTAGTAGCTGGAGTCTTTCCAAATGTTGGAACTCTGGGCAGAATCAGTTCCAACTTCCCCAGGCGTATCTACTTGTTTGCAATTCAGGTATGAAGAGATAGCCAGTGTTTTCCAGTGTGAATGAATGACTTGATTGCATTATTGCTCTGTCCAGTGTCTGTATATCCTGGGTCATCTGTCGGCAGGTCTCTGGATGAAGAGGAAGCTCTGAAAAAGTTGGCTGAGGAGGATGGTGATGGTGACGGGAAGCTGGCATTCGGCGAGTACCTCAAGCAGCAGTATGACTACTCTCAGGAGGAGCTCAAGGCCATTAAGGAAAAACCTCTGGATGATGATCACAAGTTCATGATTGAAGTGAGTGGAGCTGGAGGTCAGCGGTGGGTAGAGCTGGCCAATGGTGGGTAGAGCTGGTGGTCAGTAGTGGATACAGCTGGAGGTCAGCACTGGGTAGAGCTGGCCAAAGGTGGGTAGAGCTGGAGGTCAGCAGTGGGTAGAGCAGGAGGTCAGCAGTGGGTAGAGCTGGAGGTCAGCAGTGGGTAGAGCTTGAGGTCAGCAGTGGGTAGAGCTGGTCAGTGGTGGGTAGAGCTGGAGGTCAGCAGTGGGTAGAGCTGGAGGTCAGCAGTGGGTAGAGCTGGAGGTCAGCAGTGGGTAGAGCTGGTCAGTGGTGGGTAGAGCTGGAGGTCAGCAGTGGGTAGAGATGGAGGTCAGCAGTGGGTAGAGCTGGAGGTCAGCAGTGGGTAGAGCTGGTCAGTGGTGGGTAGAGCTGGAGGTCAGCAGTGGGTAGAGCTGGAGGTCAGCAGTGGGTAGAGCTGGTCAGTGGTGGGTAGAGCTGGAGGTCAGCAGTGGGTAGAGATGGAGGTCAGCAGTGGGTAGAGCTGGAGGTCAGCAGTGGGTAGAGCTGGTCAGTGGTGGGTAGAGCTGGAGGTCAGCAGTGGGAGAGCTGGTCAGTGGTGGGTAGAGTTGGAGGTCAGCAGTGGGTAGAGTTGGAGGTCAGCAGTGGGTTGAGCTGGTCAGTGGTGGGTAGAGTTGGAGGTCAGCAGTGGGTAGAGTTGGTCAGTGGTGGGTAGAGTTGGAGGTCAGCAGTGGGTAGAGCTGGTCAGTGGTGGGTAGAGCTGGAGGTCAGCAGTGGGTAGAGATGGAGGTCAGCAGTGGGTAGAGCTGGAGGTCAGCAGTGGGTAGAGCTGGTCAGTGGTGGGTAGAGCTGGAGGTCAGCAGTGGGAGAGCTGGTCAGTGGTGGGTAGAGTTGGAGGTCAGCAGTGGGTAGAGTTGGAGGTCAGCAGTGGGTTGAGCTGGTCAGTGGTGGGTAGAGTTGGAGGTCAGCAGTGGGTAGAGTTGGTCAGCGGTGGGTAGAGTTGGAGGTCAGCAGTGGGTAGAGTTGGAGGTCAGCAGTGGGTTGAGCTGGTCAGTGGTGGGTAGAGTTGGAGGTCAGCAGTGGGAGAGCTGGTCAGCAGTGGGTAGAGTTGGAGGTCAGCAGTGGGTAGAGTTGGAGGTATAGATGTGGTTAGGGTGGTGATTAGTGTAGGGGGTAGGTGGCAGTCTGGAGGTATAGGTGGTGGTAGTGATGTGTAGTGTCAGTTTGGTTTCATTCCAGTAAATTTGTACACTTTTCCATACTCCATAAATTGATAACATGGAAAGGAATAGTTTCACTGTCAAAAGTTAACACATATATTCTGCATGACAAGGTAATGTACAGTTTCTGTGGAGTAAGAATACACAGTTCAATCTACAGTATAGAGGTGGCATGGAGTAGCACTAATGTAAACTGTAACACTGTTTAATGCCCCAACATATCGTCACAGCCTCTATTGATATCACCAAGTACGTCCATGTGATGTTGGCAGACTATAGGCGAGGACGAAAAGCGTTTCACGGCAGCTGACCAGGACAAGAATGGGATTTTAGACAAGAGCGAGTATGTGGCCTTCATGCATCCGTACGACTACGAGCACATGCACGCGTACGAGATCGAGCACCGCTTGAAGGAGTTTGACCAGGACAATGACACTGCTGTGTCTCTGATCGAGTTTCTCGCAGGTAGGACAGGGTTACTTCCTTTGGTTTTAGTAGTGACAAGGAGGAAAATGTCTGTCTTTGAGATTGTCTGCAATGCTTCATTTCTATTCCAATGATTACTATAATAATCAAGCCTTAAAGTTGGTTTACTGCTATGGCATTACTATTGCAACAGTGAACACAACTCCAGTAGTCCCCCCTTTCCACATTTGCAAAACAAGGTAACTTAAAAAACATGAACAAGCAGTATGTTAGTTTAACTAAACTTAAACTTCAAGTGAGCTGTGTTGTGACTCGTATGGCAATCATCATGAAATGATGACAGTTTTACATCTTCTCTGAAACTATAAGCATGATATGACCACAGAATTCAGGTCACATCTGTTATTCCGTTATGATACCTCTCTGAGTGAACACCATGTTGAAATTTGTGTTAGAGTGAACTTGGACAGCACACAAAGGATGCTTAGGTTCCTGAGCTAATTTTAAATGTCAGCCATATTTGAATTGAATAGTTTGCTCATATCTCGACCATTTTTCCACGTATGATCATGAAATTGGATGTGCCGTATGTGGTGTGCATATCAACATATATCATTACTCACCCACCGAAGATACCACTGTTTAACCATGTTGATCAATGTGCACCTGTGTTTCCCATTGGGCAGTGTCATTCAGTGATTTATCTATCACTCCAAACAAAGTGCCTTTGTCAGACAAATTGGGGGAATTTATTGTTGTTCAAAATTGCGATTTTTCTTCAAAAAAAAATATTTTCCATAATTTAGAGGTATTTTATCCTATAAGAATCTAGACTTTTCTAGTTGAATGCAGGTGTTTGTGAGTTGGGGATGTTTGTGAGTTGGGGATGTTTGTGAGTTGGGGATGTTTGTGAGTTGGGGATGTTTGTGAGTTGGGGATGTTAGTGAGTTGGGGATGTTAGTGAGTTGGGGATGTTAGTGAGTTGGGGATGTTAGTGAGTTGGGGATGTTAGTGAGTTGGGGAGGTTTGTGAGTTGGGGAAGTTTGTGACATGGGGATGTTTGTGAGGTTTGTGAGTTGGGGATGTTAGTGAGTTGGGGATGTTTGTGAGTTTGGGAGGTTTGTGGTTTGGGGATGTTTGTGGGTTGGGGATGTTTGTGAGTTGGGGATGTTTGTGAGTTGGGGATGTTTGTGAGTTGGGGATGTTTGTGAGTTGGGGATGTTTGTGAGTTGGGGATGTTTGCGTGTCGGGGATGTTTGTGAGTTGGGGATGTTTGTGAGTTGGGGATGTTAGTGAGTTGGGGATGTTAGTGAGTTGGGGATGTTAGTGAGTTGGGGAAGTTTGCGAGTCGGGGTGGTTTGAGAGTTTGGGAGGTTTGTGGTTTGGGGATGTTTGTGGGTTGGGGATGTTTGTGAGTTGGGGAGGTTTGTGAGTTGGGGACATTTATGAAGTTTGTGAGTTGGGGAAGTTTGTGGGTTGGGGATGTTTGTGGTGAAGCTGTTGTTTTCAGAATCTGCATCTTATGCTTTCACATAATTGATCTTGGTGAAAGATATCCCATTTATTACCAGAGTTCAAGAGAGCACGGTCTTTCCTGTACTCCTCAGCAAATATTGTTCGCATACAACACCCTGAAACCAGCGACATATCTTTATCAACATTGAAATTAGATAATAAGAAAACTTTAAGTGAGTAAAAAATACATTACTAGGCGGGTTTCTGTCTGATGCCGTTTGTATTGCAACTTGTGTTTTTTAAATGATAGAACTTGCTTCACTTTTTGTAGTAAAAATGGTATCGAACATGCTGACAGGAACTCGTGTAGTAATCTATATATATGAACACTATGCACTCTATGACACATACCTGGCTGTGGTCTTTGATCTTCTTTATCTGTCGATGTAGAGCTGGAGGTGTGGGTAGAGGTGGTGGTATAGATGTGGGTACAGGTGGAGGTATAGATGTGGGTACAGGTGGAGGTATAGATGTGGGTAGAGCTGGAGGTATAGATGTGGGTAGAGCTGGAGGTATAGATGTGGGTAGAGCTGGAGGTATAGATGTGGGTAGAGCTGGAGGTATAGATGTCGGTGGAGCTGAAGGTATAGATGTGGGTGGAGCTGGAGGTATAGATGTGGGTAGAGCTGGAGGTATAGATGTGGGTACAGGTGGAGGTATAGATGTGGGTATATAGATGTGGGTACAGCTGGAGGTATAGATGTGGGTATAGGTGAAGGTATAGATGTGGGTAGAGCTGGAGGTATAGATGTGGGTACAGCTGGAGGAATAGATGTGGGTAGAGCTGGAGGTATAGATGTGGGTAGAGCTGGAGGTATAGATGTGGGTACAGCTGGAGGAATAGATGTGGGTAGAGCTGGAGGTATAGATGTGGGTAGAGCTGGAGGTATAGATGTGGGTACAGGTGGAGGTATAGATGTGGGTAGAGCTGAAGGTATAGATGTGGGTACAGCTGGAGGTATAGATGTGGGTAGAGCTGGAGGTATAGATGTGGGTACAGGTGGAGGTATAGATGTGGGTATATAGATGTGGGTACAGCTGGAGGTATAGATGTGGGTACAGGTGGAGGTATAGATGTGGGTAGAGCTGGAGGTATAGATGTGGGTAGAGCTGGAGGTATAGATGTGGGTACAGGTGGAGGTATAGATGTGGGTAGAGCTGAAGGTATAGATGTGGGTACAGCTGGAGGTATAGATGTGGGTAGAGCTGGAGGTATAGATGTGGGTAGAGCTGGAGGTATAGATGTGGGTACAGGTGGAGGTATAGATGTGGGTACAGGTGGAGGTATAGATGTGGGTACAGGTGGAGGTATAGATGTGGGTAGAGCTGGAGGTATAGATGTGGGTAGAGCTGGAGGTATAGATGTGGGTACAGGTGGAGGTATAGATGTGGGTACAGCTGGAGGTATAGATGTGGGTACAGCTGGAGGTATAGATGTGGGTAGAGCTGGAGGTATAGATGTGGGTACAGCTGGAGGTATAGATGTGGGTAGAGCTGGAGGTATAGATGTGGGTACAGGTGGAGGTATAGATGTGGGTGGAGGTGGTTGTCAGTGTGGAAGGGAGGGGAGGTTATTTGGATGGCCAAGGTGAAGGTCAGCAGTGATTAGTGTAGGGGGGTAGGTGTCAGTCTGGAGGGGTAGATGGTGATGTGTGGTGTCAGTTTGCTTTCATTCCAGTAAATTTACACACTTTGCCCTACTTCATAAAATGGTAACATGGAAAGGAATAGTTTCGCTGTCAAAAGTTAACACATAAATTATGCATGACAGGTAAAGTAGTTTCTGTGGAGTAATAATACAGTTCAATCTACAGTGTAGGGGTGGCATGGAGTAGCACTAATGTAAACTGTAACAAGATAATTGATCTTGGAGAAAGATATCCGATTTATTACCAGAATTCAAGAGAGCATGGTCTTTCTTGTACTGCGCAGCAAATATTGTTCGCATACAACGCCCCGAAACCAGCGACATATCTTTATCAACATGAAATTAGAGAAAACTTTTAGTCAGTAAAAAATACATTACCATGATTACTAAGCAGGTTTTCTGTTTGATGCCGTTTGTATAGCAACTTGTTTTTTAAATGATCAAACTTGCTTCACTTGTAGCAAAAGTGGTATCAAACATGTTTACAGGAACTCGTGTAGTCATCCATATATATGAACACTATGCACTCTATGATGCATGCCAGGCTGTGGTCTTCTCTTAACCAATTATCCAGTTTTGATATATTTAGACATCTCTCAAAGTTCTGGGTTTATATATGACTCTTACAGCGTTGTGACCGGCAGCTCCCTATACAATTTTTACCGGATTCAAAAGATGGATGGCATTTTAAAATCATTGAAACCCTCTTATAATGACCTTTATAATGTAAAACTGAAAACGTTGTAGAAAAGCTCAGGTTAAATACAGAGCTGTGTCACTAGATTTACTTTTGTAGAAAAATATCCATGTGTCACCTTTGTTATTCCTTCAGATTTTCTATAGACTACATTCTTCCCATCACCAGTGATAATCTACTGTAAATCATGAAATTAGGTTGCTTGTAGGAATAAATGGACACATTTCTCTGTCGACATATTGTCATGTCAGATTCACAGCACATGGACAAAAACAATGACATTTCTTTACAAAGTTCACAATAAACAATATAATAAAGAGCAAGATTTTTTACACTGTACATACTTGGTAAAAATATTTGACAAATTGAATGGTGTTTGTTTGACAGATGAAGATGATGAGGATGCCACGAGTATGGACCAGCTGAGGTTCAGGAAATATGACACTGACAATGATGGCTTTCTCAAGGGTGATGAGCTGAAGACGTGGCTCACCCAGGGAAATTTGGAAACTGCAACCGAGGAGGTAGAGTACTTGACAAGCAAGGCTGATGCAAACAAAGATGGCTTCCTGTCCTTGGCAGAGATCCGGGATCACGATGAGGACTTCATCTCTAGCAAGGCCACAGACTACGGAGATACATTGCTCAAATTTAAAGACGAGTTGTAACTGTATCCTGCTTTAGGCCTGTACATAATCTGTTTTCATTCTTCATCAAGGCATGTGTCCACGTTTGACTTAGCTTGAGAGCTGGTGCTTAAAGTCTGTATCCTTCATCAGTCCTTACCTATACATGCAGCCTTGTCTCACAACAATCTCATTGCCTTGAATGCTTTCATATTTCTTTACATGCCCTTCCAAAACAGTACTTAAGCATCAGGCACAAATTAACCCCTGATTGGGTCTTGGATTCGGGAAGTGTTGTCCTGGGCCACCCACCAGCACCGAAGGTTTTATAGGCCATGTACCTATCTTGCAATACTTTAGTGGATTTCATGCGCAATATATGAATGCAAGGAATGGATGAAGTGGCAGCATTGAACTTATCTTTCCCCAGATCAATCAAGAGCTTACCCATTAAGTGTTTCTCCCTTATGTGTTGTTAGTAATCTGTATATTCTGTTAGTTGTCTGTTACCCGTTTGTGCAATCTGATATTATCTTTATGTTCTTTTTGACATCTTGTTTGTCATCTGTTACCTGTTTTTTCAGTCTGTTATTTTATGGGTTGCGGCTCCCAGCATGGTTGTTTTCAGTGTGTTTACTGACAAGTGCAATATAACCATGGACGGTTCCTGTCTGCTGCTAATGCTCAGTGGTATTTCAAGACTGAAGCAGGCTACCAAACTTTATACAACAGACAAGGAACAATGTAGTACAAGTTTTCTTTTATTGTACAAATTGTTGATATATTAGTGTTACACATAACCACAGACTAGCAGAATGGTGCTACACATTCCAGTTTAAAAGTTTGATGCGGGATAAAAAACTTAATTTAAGTTTTTAGACTTCTGAAATGAAATCATGTATTTGTGTTTTTATGGAACAATTATCGATAGAAGTTTATGTATATCTAGGTGTAGACAATCATTTGTAGATAAAATCTGTCATTATGCACAGCACGAGATGGACTATTGAGAAACTATAACTTGTGGAAAGACAACTCCTAACAGCATATAAATAAAATAGGATTGGTTCAGTTACTAAGTTGATTTTGTCAGATGGAAAACTTGCAGAGCCATTAACACCCACATCTCTAAACTTAATTCCTTAAGATTTTTTATCAGACATCGAACTGTCCCCTTAATGACAGTCATGATCGTAAGATGACCACATGATAGAGGCATCCCAGCTATAGAAATTGCTTTCGAATCTAGAATTTACAAATAACAAACAAGTCAGCAGCTAGACAAAAACAAATTTTTACAAGAGAAAAATGGACAAAAGCATTCAGGATGTTAATGCCTGACATAGTGACAATAGTATTCATACAGATTTACTAAGACATGGCCTATCTCAGTTGTCTTGTTGACAAATGTCGGTGGCAGTCTGAGATGGCTGTATGATGTGAGGTTGCTCATCCAGAACTCCTAGCATTCCTCCCCCTTTCACCAACATATGTTCCATATACAACCATTCCTGCCAACATATTAAGACATGTCCGCCACAGCGTGAATGAGATGCGTGTCATACCTTAATGAATAAAATATATTATTTGACAAGATTGTTTGGTTTTCTGTCCAAGCTGTGGGAGACAGCAGCACCTGAAGTGATTTGGTCTGGTATTTCCTGAGGATAGGCTTGACAGTGCCCCTGGGGAAACCAAATCATTTATCCATGCTGTTTGGATACTCAGTCAAGGCAATAGAACAGCGAGATCAAGTTTTGTCACAAACATCTTTGCTGTTTCATCTATGAACATGGGGGAGGGGGGGTCATCCACGACAGCTCTGGAGCACCTTCTGCCAAAGGAAAAAAACAACATTTGACTCAAACCTTAATAGTTCAGTTTCCACCCTTGCAGATATAGAATTAGATATAGAATATAGTTGTTTTGCCTGGACTGTTGAGTCTAAATCCGATTTCGACATCCGGTTCATAAACAAGGCAACTGCTGTGCCTAATTCGTTTGGTTGCAGTATTTAGAGAGCATGTGTACCGTCAACTGGGTGTTGACACACATGGAAAGATTTACAAAATATTTTTAATCAAGGTGATACAGTGATGCACTTTATGTCGGTCGCACTTTATTTGATGCACTTCCCGAGGGGATGATTATTGTAATAAAACAAAGATCTTTATAATTGATGAAGTGATATGAGAGGTGGAATCTGGATGGTCAGTAGGGGTACATAGAAGGGACATAACAGCTTACACTTTCAGTAGTAAAGCCTGCTTATAGCAGGGGAATCCCGCCTCGTTCTGGTTCTACAGCGCCTATGGAGAATGTAATTTGATACCAGGTTGAAACACCACTGATCAACAAGAAAGTGGTGTCATTAGAAATATCTTATTTACTTAGAAGTTAAAATAAAAGAAGCCCTTACTTTTTCACATATGAATTCATCATAGGTCCACCTCCAATTACAAGTAATTATCATGATATAATGATACAGCCTGGCTCCAGTAAACGGTCCAAAAGTAATATGTTCACACTTCCGGTTGTACAGTTTTTCCGTGTAGTTCAACTTCAATATCAGGATCTTTTTATCTCAAGCCATATAAGGCATTTATTCTACATTTTGTATTGGTTGTTGGTGTATTTGGAAAAGAGTCAATCACAGAAAAAGGTGGAGCTTTAGTATAGTGTAGCAATCTGGTTGGTTAAAGAGCATCACCCTTTCTGAAACATTTCATTCAGAAATAGCTGGTTCTGGAATTCACTGTGTGTCAACAGTTTACACTTTATCGCTGATATCTGTGATCGTGGTGAAAGACCTGTCACCCTAGGTCAAATATATCGTCTTTGTTTTGTGTAAATATAATGATATCATCTATTCAAATGGACAGTTGTTCATTAGGGGTAAACGATGTGACTGGAGGGTCACATACTTCTTGTCCAGGATCTTTCTATCTCACAAGTGCTAAAAGCAAACTGTCATTACTACAGTCTTGTGGGATAATTAAGTAAACAATTTATTAAATTGTATTGGCACTTGAATCTTGGCAAAAGAAGAAAAACATCCAGAAGCCACTAGTTGATTCTGACCCCATAATGACGTGTTTAGGTCACGTGACCAAACCAAGATGCCGGATTTGTTGAAAATGGAAAACCGTCGTCTGCTCCAAATTGCCATACATTTTTAGACTTATATTGCAAGGTTATGCCAGGGAGATACTTCTTTTTATTGTTTCTTGATTGGATTAAGAAAGTGATATATTTTTAAACATACAGATATGAAATTATCATCTGTATATACAGTTTGCATTGTACTCCCCGTCTTCCAAATGTGGCATAATATCTATACATGTGCAGATACAGAAAGTATAGTTTCAAAAGGTACTGACACGGTATTAGACTATGAATGGAATGATTTTAACACATATTTTGATGGAGACTACTTAAATATTCCTAATGAAGAGTACCAACTATTGTCCAGCGATAGTGGAGAGGAATTTTGATAACAATAATGGAAATTTTGCCCTGGTGGAGGTTCGTGCATGGTTGGACTATCTTGTTGACACAACTAAATATATTACATGTATTCTTTTAACAGATACACATGTCAATGGAATTTTCTGACTTAAATTAAATATGGGGCTCAACACTATCATGATTTTTTAATCATGATATGGCAAAAGCATCAACATGATAATGATCCTCAGTTAATAACCTATATTTCCTCTTTAATCACAGAATTCATGCCTGTTGAAATAAATGGAACTGTAACATAATAACATCTTTGTAAATGCATGAAGACAATATCTGTGATGTTGACAGTTTGTAAAAGTTGTATCATATTGTTGTTAATACATAGTATCCTTGTGTATTTTTTAGCATAATTAACAAATGTAACATAAACATTATGATATTCCTGACAATCAGTCACTTACATAACAGTTTGATTCTATCTGTGATAATTACATTTAAAAGATATTGAAGTATATTGTTTTGTGTTATTCTTTGACGAATGTACTAACACAAATATTACTGCAGACATAGCAGGACACCATGTTTGTGTCTTACTCTCTGCTTTCCTGGGGCGGTTGAACTAGATGTCATCGAAGAGACTGCTTATCTCTCTTAGGGGCCAGTTTCAGATATCACATTTCACATTCTCAAAGCGAGGCCATTAAAACGCGGGAAAATGAAGAAAATGGGGAATACCCTGCTGAAAGTGTAGACTGTAACTCGTAATAGCCACTGGTGGCGCTAGGGTCGAGCCCTGAAATTCCAGCCTGGTTTGGCAAGGGTGGAAACCAGACTGTTAATGTCAGTAAATTCCCTTGCCTCAGGAAGATGGTAATCATGGGAGGTCGGGGAAGAAAAGGTCCTTAGGTAACGCTGTTTGTCAGCTATTACAAGCAAAAGCTGCTGACTGATTGTGTCATCATGCCCCCACTACATTGATATATTCAATAATTCAATAAACCAGGGGTTCACTTGGAACAGAAAAGCTCTTATAGGTTGCGGCGGCAGAGCTGACTGTGAATGGGTCATAAAACAACTTTCACACACTGACTAGTAATCGGGGAAGAGTGATTATTATTCAAATAATGCCTGGTCTTTGCAAAACTTGATGGATGGGATCTAGTCACTGTTGATTATTGAAATATAAGAACAGTAGGCATGGTCGATTGATACAGAAAAAACAAACAAACAGAACTCGATTTAGCTATATAAAACATGTACCGACTACCGTGCAACCTATTACGGAAAAGTGCAACATAATATTTATGTCTATATGCAGCATTTGCACCAAATTCAAATTTGTGACGAACCTTTACTTTTCCACATAACTATCTTTGTACACACTCATTACCTCTAAGCTTCATGTACAACACAACATATGATACAACATCACTAATCCCTGTGATAAGTGGAATTTGCTTTCTTGGGCTTGATGTCCTCAAACCCTGGGTACTTCAAGATCATGTGCACATTCCCTACAGGGAACGTTCAACAGCAATTCACCATTAATTTATCCAAAATCATGACAGGAATCAGAGATGTCAGATTTTATTTACTTAGACTAGTTTATGCATCTATGTTTCAACTGTGATAAATTCAGGGAACCAGAGTGAAATTAGTTTTGTTTGTTTGGTGCAACTAGGTTTTCATTTCAACATGCACCTGGTGCAAGTCAAATCAAGATCCCTTAAACGAGAGCCCTGTAAAACACAAAACTGTTGCTGGTATTATAATTGTTAAGACATTTCTTTCAATGACAACTAAGGCATAATGACATGCACACGGTGATCTGCTTAATAGTATGTCCAATGAATTGATCCAGGGAAATATACTACTCAAAGTTTGCTAAGGATCACCACTTTCAAAGGAAATACATCAAATTGTTTAGACAATATTGCATGAAGACATTTTGAAAGAGGTGCGGTGAAATTGGGTTTAACGTCGCGTCCAAGATTATTGCACTTATAAAGCGACGGCATGCACGTGTGTGTGTGTGTGGCTGCTTGTACTAGTCCGGACTGATGCCGATTTAAAGTGCTAGCTCACTGAGATACCATGCTGCAGTTTAACATGAATACCCCACTAAGACACAGTATACTGACTGGTATACCGAGCCGACCAGTCCTTGTTTAAGACCCTTAATGCCGAGCGCCAGACAGGGTAACAAGTGCCATCTTGTAACGTCTTTTGGTATGACGCAGCCGGGGATCGAACCCTGAACTTTCCGCTCTCCGGGCGGACGCTCTACCACTAGACCACGGAGGCGGTCTACATAATGAAAGAACAAAGGTCTGTTGTCATGTACAACACAGCGCCAACAAACACCATGTGACCAATAATCAGTCAGATCAGCCATGAAAATGAGAGTATCTGGCCAAAACTTAAACATAAAAAAAAAAAAATCATGCCCCAAAAAACTCTCAGTAGCCAATATGTGATCCACTTGATGTGATCACAGCCTGACACTGTCGTTTTAAGCTCCCAATAAGTATCTGGATGATACAAGGGAAGATTGTTCCACTCATTGAGAGCAATGCTGAGTTCCTGTAGAGTTGGAGTTAGAATAGGTCTTCACCAACCCATGCTTGTCTTGAGAGGTGGCTATGCTTGTTGTAAGAGATGACTAATGGGATTAGGGTGGTCAGGCTCGTTGACTGTTGATGCATGTCATCTTATCCCAACTGTGTAGATCAATGATCATGATGTCAATCACTGGATTGTCTGGTCAAGACTCAATTATTTACAAACCACCGTCATACAGCTGCAATATTGCCGAGAGCATCCTTAAACAACAAACAAACAAATCTGGTGACCATGCTGGTGACTCCATATGGACAATACTCTCCTGCTCTAAGTTGGCATCAACGATGAGGTGCATTATTGTCGATGAGGATGAAGTCCGGTCTGATTGCACCTCACATACACATCCAGGATGTCATCCCTGTAGTGAACACCTGTCATCGTGCTCAACTGTAGGACAGCTCTGCTGATCCCAACCCAAATCATGATTGAGCCTCCTCCAAAGCAGTCATGTTAGGCTGCGTAGGAATCCTGAAATCTTTCTCCTTGTTTACGCCACACTCGAGCACAACGATCTGTGACATCATAGGCATCGTACCTGCCTGTGATGTCGGGTCAGCAGGATGTGAATGCATGCCCTCTGTGACCAGAGATCAGCCTCTTGGAGACAATAATGATGTCACTGGCATTCCACAGATCATTTCTAAGTGTGATGGCAGCCATGAAGTGATGACGTATTGCTGCATTCAGGAGAAACCTGTCTTCCCGCTGTGTGGTAGAATGCTGTCGACCTCCTGAATGTCGCTGGGTAGCTGATCCAAAAGTCTGGGATTGATTCCATGCCCCGCTGATGACACTTTGGCTGACACCAAAGACATTGGCAATGTGATGTTGTGCTGACCCAGTTTCAAGCATGCCTATGCATCTGCCTATATAATTGGTCGTCAAACGACGTCTTTGCCAGGGCATAAGTGCATTCAGTTGTTGCAATCCTCAGTAGCAAATGTTGTGCTCTCTGATAATGATATGCAAAGATTCTGTCACGATACATCCAAACAGGTTTTCAAACACCTCGTGCACATTGTGCCCATGACTGCATGCCTGTGTCCGTTCATCATGAAATTGTGGTCCTATAGGGGTTACCCAATCATTGTGCATAGGGATATTTCAATCATTACTTGTTGGATGATTTTTTTTATCATCAAAGCTTGATTCTCAGCAAACGTTTAGTAGTATTTATATTTTTCATTTCACAATTTTCTCTCACATTACTACTAATGGCCAATGCAGTACTTTTCAATGAAACTTTCGGGGCTTCAAATACTCTGTACCATCTGAACATCTCCAAAAGGTTGATGAGACAATCCTAAATCATCTTGCAATACATCAACATGGAGAAGATAAAGATACATTTGGCTGACCACATTATCAACTGCAACTTTAGCCACTAGTCTGAAGCCCGAGGCTAGTACAATTCTATTTTGTCTAGTAAGCTCAGTTAATAATAGTCCATATATTGACACTAAAATCAACTGAAAATGATGCTAAGAGCCATGTATTGGCAAGCAGAATAAAATGTTTTTGGCAGAGACTGCTATCACAGTTGAAAAGTATTTGTTAGAAAAAATAATTATACCAAGAAAATACCTACATGTGAATATACGTGACACTTGGAAACTTACTTATTGACAATCAATGTCGGGATTAGTCAGTTCCAACACCATGGACACTGATATGACAGTTGGGTCTCACTATTATAATACACTTCCAACACTGCGACTGACATTTGACTGTTACCTTGGAAACCATCTTAACATGTGTTAAGGCAACCGTCTTCTCCTTTTGGTCCACAGCGGCCAGATGGGCCTGGGTTGCTAGGCGACGGAGAAACATCATGTAGTCAAGCCACAGCTGAAACACACCAAGTCCACTTATAACAACCTGACACACACACACACACACACACAAGTCCGCTTTAATTTTACATGACACACATACTATGACTGCCTCAGTAGGACATGAATCATACCAAGTCAGCTTTAGTTGGACAAGAATCATACCAAGTCTGTCTCAGCAGGTCATGAATCATACTAATTCTGTCTTAGAAGGACATGAATCATATCAAGTCTGCCTTAGTGGCACATGAATCCTGCCAAGTCCATCTTAGTTGGACATGAAGAATACCAAGTCCATCTTTGTAGGACATGAATCATACCAAGTCCACCTTAGTAGGACATGATTCATACCAAGTTTGGCTTAGTAGGCGATGAAGCAGACCAAGCTCAATCTCATTAAAATCAGACCTTAGTTCTCGCTATCGTTAAACAAAGATCTGAAGACATCCCATTTGGGGTCATGTCAGAATGACCTTTCATCCGACCAATCAGAGCGTCACTTACCAGATTATGAAAGTGACAGTCGGAATGTGATTTTTAATCATGCAACCTTGAAAACTTTGACATGGGGTATTCCGAACGATAGTTATGGGTTTAACGGCCGAATCCATACAATCTAGTCTATCTATTAGCCATTCCGGAATGTTCTTTTGTTCAGGTTTCAAATTTGTAATGGAGAATTTGTCAAAATATGTTACGAAGCGTAGTCGCCAATTTGAAATTGGTGCCATAAAGCTGGAGAAAGCTGCCTTCTGATTGGTCATTCCATAGGTCGGTCAAAGTTCGCGCAAGGTCGGTCTGACGTGACCCGAAATGGATGTCCTCAGATCTTTGTTTAGCGGTAGCGAGAACTAAGATCTGATTTTAATGAGATTGTACCAAGCCTGCCTTAGTAGGAGGATGGAACTCATGCTGCCAGCTTGAACGTAAGCCAAGCTAATTAGTTAATCTATTTAGCTAACACCCTACCATATGCGCTATCACAAATAATCAGTGCTTGTTTACCAAGTCATCAGCACCCGATTGTTCACTATAATGTGCACGCCCAGTAGCCATTTGGACTTCGAAACTCAAAACTTGATGAAACGTGTATGGAGTTTCTTCAGATTACTTTGGATTCATTCTTCTAAAGAGCTAACCCATACCCTACCTCACAACCAACCCTAATGATTGTAAAGAAGTGCATTACCCAAAGAAGTAAGGGGTGTTTGAACGGAAAGGGGTACCCAACCATAAATCGGGTATCCAAGGGCTAAGAGTCTGGGTAACGTACCCTAACCACAACACATCTAGTTAACCCAAAGGATCGAACAGGCACACGTGTAAGATCTGTGATTCGAGGGCCACAGTCGGCATCCTGGGCCAACATTAGCGCTAGTAAGCTGCGCCCGGTAAACTGCATTGTTACCCTCGAACAAAATATAATCCATGATGATAAATGAACTCCTCATTTCAAATTCATGCTACGGAAACACATGTTGCTTAGGTTTTTGTCTTGTGTCTTGTTTTTCCACAGCTAAGTAACCTAAATTCGTGTCCGTGTTCTTTTCGTTTATCACTTACCAAGCTGTCAACCTTTGTACCTTTCAGTCTGGATTGATTCAAATGTTTCTTCATAGAAACCTTGACTCTAGCTTTTCGACACTGAGGTATCATAACTTCTACTACTGAACTTGATCTTGAACAGCTTGTCCAAGGATATGTTTTTCTCGAAATTCCCGCTTCCGGCAGTAAGTCTTTTCGACGAATGAAAATACAGAGATATTTCTCTCCTTGTCTGTCTTCCCTAACTTCCGCTTCCGATCACGTTGGCTCCCTGCGTGTTGCAAAACATTTAGTCCGCAATATATCTTTGATTCCTTTAAACAGCTATGGCTAAGACACGTAAAATTCAACAGAAAGCAGCCCCCAAAGACGGGATGAAAAAGGGACAACACAGTATGAACCCAGGTAATACTTTGATACATTTTTAAGAAAACAACCTGGCCGGATTCTGTGACACAGTCACACATGGTAATATGGAATCGAACACAAGTCAACTCGTTCACTCGGAAAACCGTACATAAAAAATGCTTTACCATCACACTTTACCGGGGGTACTTTTCGGATTTCGGGTGCCTGGATTTCCATTCGCGCCGAGCGGAGGATCGAACTCGCGTTGCCAGCTAAATGCGAAGATAGGCGAATGAGTCAACCAACTCATTATCACGGGACCACTGTCCAACCAAATAATTAGTGCTCGTTTACCAAATGATCAGCAACTCATACACAGACACTTCATAAACATTGTAATATTTTCATGAGATTACATCTTTAAAAGAGATGCACAGAATGCGAACATTAGTACTTGTAGTGTAACCATATAGTTCTAGATCATTATTGTCATTAAACAATATATCATGTGACTAACCACGGGTCTGGGTAGTTCTGTGGGTACCTGGGTCCTTCTCAGTACCCACCTGACCCGAGTACCTGAGTTACCCGTCCCCGCCCTTGTCACTATGGGGTTCCAAGGGCTAAGGATAGTTCAGGCTAACCTACCCTAACTCTCACACAACAAACCTTTAGGTTACAAGAGGCACACAAGATAATGAAGCAAGAGGGATTGCCGACAACCTGTGTCAATTAACGCTATAACCTGCCCCTAGTAATTGCCCTGATTATTGCTGGGGACCTGTTTACAAATGCCAGGCTGAATCGTACACCAAAACATCAACCTCTCCACAACACAAAACAGCACATATCTTCCTTTCGTATTAGTTTCAGGAAAACCTCATGGTTACTTGGCAATAGCCATATTTGTATGTGACTGGCCTAGCGTTCATAGTTCATATTCAGCTGAATTTGTTTGTTGTTAAACGGTGCATTCAGCAGTATTTAAGCTGTATCATGTATATGACTGCTGCCTGTAAATAATCATGTCTGGACCTGACAATCCTGTGATTATTATTGTAAGCAATAATCAATGCTTTTGGGATACATTGACACAGATTCAACCAAGTCATCAAACCTGACCACCTGATGCATTTGGTCGCCTATTAAGAAAAACCAAAGTTGCTGGGATCTATTCTAAACTGCTATCGCCACAGGTGTCATACAGGGCCAATACCTTAGTCTATGTATGGGTCAGACAATGAAGACCCTCTTGTAGCTGTGAAATCATAGCTATATGATGCAACAGTATTTCTATCTGACATCCACTGGTCACTGACACATAGCTATATGTTGCAATGGTATTTCTATCTGACATCCACTGGTCACTGACACATAGCTATATGTTGCAATGGTATTTCTATCTGACATCCACTGGTCACTGACACATAGCTATATGTTGCAATGGTATTTCTATCTGACATCCACTGGTCACTGACACATAGCTATATGTTGCAATGGTATTTCTATCTGACATCCACTGGTCACTGACACATAGCTATATGTTGCAATGGTATTTCTATCTGACATCCACTGGTCACTGACACATAGCTATATGTTGCAATGGTATTTCTATCTGACATCCACTGGTCACTGACACATAGCTTTATGTTGCAATGGTATTTCTATCTGTCATCCACTGGTCACTGACACATAGCTATATGTTGCAATGGTATTTCTATCTGACATCCACTGGTCACTGACACATAGCTATATGTTGCAATGGTATTTCTATCTGACATCCACTGGTCACTGACACATAGCTATATGTTGCAATGGTATTTCTATCTGACATCCACTGGTCACTGACACAAAGCTATATGTTGCAATGGTATTTCTATCTGACATCCACTGGTCACTGACACATAGCTATATGTTGCAATGGTATTTCTATCTGTCATCCACTGGTCACTGACACATAGCTATATGTTGCAATGGTATTTCTATCTGTCATCCACTGGTCACTGACACATAGCTCGGATTTAGGCCTTCATAACATTTTACAATAGTCTGATATTGATTTTGCAAGCTCCATCAGTTCAACCATCATCATTCATTATTCCAACCACGTCTGTAACATTTATTGCATCCCACCTTCTAGATACAGTAACATTGAGGTATGTCAAATTGTACCAAGGGTCGATTGTAAATGATGTAACAATGATTATTTGATTTTTCAGATCGGGTGAAAGGCCAGGGCGGACACAACATGAGAGATAAAACTACCATCAAGCGTTTGCTCATGTACAAAAACTTCAAGGCTAAGAGGTATACATTAAAGTCAAAATGATTTCACCAGCTTAATAACTTGGAAGAAATGTTGATTCAATTAATTCTGTGTGTGAAATTTAACCTCATATGGCTCTGCACTAATGTAGAATAAATAACATTTTGTTTAAGGAATAATAATAATAAAAAAATATTAAAAAATCGTAACAGTTGCTAATTTGCATTTTGTATGTGTGAGGTTGCATTGGTATTCACTATCTTAAATTTTTTAACTAGTTCACTGTCTGGACCAGTATTGTTAATGATAAACATGATAAAGATATCCTATGGGCTGGTAGAATTTCAGACATTTTGGAGGGTTTTGATATAGGTTATTACTATTCAGGGCTAGATGACATTCTTGGTTAATTTGTATCCCTGAGAGACTATCCATCTATTTCCAAAATAAGCTAGATAAAAAGGGACCCATGCAAAGAACATATGTAATGCTGATATTGTACACCTTGCAGTATTATTGACAAAATGTCTACACTGTCAACACTGCTTTCTTGGGCTTTACATCATCAAATTGTGGGTACCAGGTACTTTAAGATTATGTGCACATTCTTGTATTATATTTACAGCAATACAATCATATATATTTAAACTAGTTTATGCATCTTTCATGTCAATGTTTCAACTTTGATAAATTTATGGGACCAGGGTACAATCTGGTTTTGTTTGGTGAAACTGGGTTTTATGTCAAAATGCCGCAGATGCACTTTAAATCAAGTTTTTAAAATATAGCCCAGACTTGGTTATGATTAAAACTCCATACATGGAAGTAGGCTGCCTTGGACAGTCTATATGACTGGTGGCAAAGATAGTATAGAGAGCAAAGCAGATGTGACGCCACAATAAAGACATGACACTTAACCATCATGTCTATCAGACTATCAGACAATAGTTTCATAAAATGAGCATAACATTTCTCATGTGTCTCTATATATGTGTCTGTTTCTTGGTACAAGGTAAAATTTTCCCTACTGTAACCATGGTAACATGACTTTACAGAGACAGGAAAGGGAAAATATTATCCCCGGCCCCGTACCAGTCAACCCTGGCCTCTGGGACTGTGGCTCGAGTGGAACCCAACAGACGCTGGTTTGGTGAGAGAAATTATCAATGTTATATGCAGCTAGAAAAATGTTAAGCACCACTCCTTATTCACTTTCAAGATACCACCTATATTGAAGTTGGTACAAGCGCACTGCATGTTTTTTCCCACTGCTGCCTGCCTGCTAGCCAAATGCTGGTGACTTTTAGATTGGGCTAGTTACATTTCCATCTGGCCCGACTATCTTATTGAAAATTGTAGTCAATACTCAATTGTTTCTAGCATTTTCAATGAATCATCAAGTCAGTTAAGGCGTTATTTAATGTCAAAGTATTTTGTCATTTTGTTTTCATTTCGTAGTTTATCGGAAACTGTTTTTTGCTGTACACTGATCATGACTGTTGATAAGTATATACATACGACTCAATAAGATCCGGGGTAGAATAGGTCTTCAGCAACCCATGCTTGTTGTAAGAGGCGACTAACGGGATCGGGTGGTTAAACAATGGAGAAACAAACAAACAAAACAAAGCATATATACTAGCCACATTAAGAAACTGTGCACAGAGAAAATATAGATTTAAGGGCACACCGTCCATATATGAAATATAAGTTTGAACACAGCAATTATTGGAGACATTCAAACGCTCATGCACGTGCCATGTGATATGACGTCATTGATGGGGGCCTATGGACGTGCAATGTGTTACTGCACGTGCATCCTGTGCAGCTGTACACAGCATGTGCAACTCAAAATTCGCTGTCACTTTGGAAAGCATGATCTGTGGTCATCCAAAAATTTAAAACTTCTCAGGTGCAGACACAAGCATATAACAAGCAAATCATGCCAAGATTGACAGCTGCACAGCATCATGAAGCCATTGGAATGATCCGAGCAGAGAATGAGGCAACAACAGGTGGCAACACATTTCCAATGCCATCGTAACACGATATCAGCATTGGTGAGGCGTTATCAGAACACAAATGACGTTGCCGACCACCCACGTTCAGGACGTCCCCGAGTAACGACCCCAAGACAGGACAGATGGATTCGAGTTACACATCTCCGACACAGGTTCCAAACGGCAGTAACGACGTCCCAGACAATTCCTGGACTGCGCCGTATCCATCCCAACACTGTCAGGAATCGTTTACGTCAGTACGGGATTCGACCACGACGCCCTGCCATACGTCCCATCCTGACACACTGTCATCGAGTCAACCGTCTAAGATGGTGTCGAAATCATGTTCGCTAACCTCGAATATGGTGGAGAAATATTGTCTTTACAGATGAATCGAGGTTCAACATTTCCCACAGTGACAGGCGCCAACGTGTCTAGCAGCGTTTGGGAGAACGTTATGCACGCAACTGTATTGTAGAGAGGAATCGTTTTGGAGGTGGCTCTGTGATGATTTGGGGTGGGATAACAGCACGGCACCAAACCCCTTTGGTGGTTGTTCAGGGCAATCTCACCGGCTACAGAGATCAGATTCTGAGGCTTGTGGTCATTCCTTTCCTGCAACGTCATGGCCCGTCATCGTCCTCACACGGCTAGGGTCGCAATGGATTTCCTTCACCATAACAATGTCATGTTACTGCCATGGCCTGCAGTTTCTCCAGATCTCTCCCCAATAGAGCATGTGTGGGATGAAATGGAGCGCCGTCTGCGTCGTCTTCCATATACTCCAGATAACGTCCGTGACTTGGCACAGAATTTGAGGAGGATATGGCAGGCCATACCCCAGGCCTTCCATGCCCATTTGGTGGACTCCATGCGTCGTCGATGCACTGCTGTGATTCACGCACAGGGTGGTCATACCCGTTATTGACTTTGTGACTTTGTCGTATGACCCCCTACTCCATTTTGATCTTCTGACGTCATCATAACAGATGTTGTTCAGGCCTGTTGACATTTTCTTATGGTCCGATCATTCAGCTGCTACAGCGTCTGCATCATTTTGTTCTTGCTGTGTTGTATTTCAATCCAGAATATAATTTTCTCCGTGCACAGTTTCTTTATGTGGCTAGTATACATACGTTTTTATCTATTCATGTGAAAGTCAAAGAACCACAACAAGCCTCAGACAAAAGTACCAAGAAACGTATCAGCTTCGCCAGTGTTTAGCTTTATAATCTCAAAACTATTTTGAATCATATTGCCAATGACGGTCTCCATAAGGTAGGGTTAGTATGAGTGTTTGCAACATGTTTTATTAACACGGGATCTCCCTTTAGTTACTGACGATCTCTAGCCCATTTTTATATTGTGTTGTTCACTAATACTTATGACTTTTATATATTCTCAACTAGTTTTTAATCGACTCTGTGATATTCTAGTTATTGTACTGTCAATCGTTGACAGCTTTTTGTATTGTCTAAATATATGTATTATTAATGTACTTCTCGTCACGATATGGCTGAAATACTGCCGATGTGACGTTAAATTTTAACTCCTGGCCAGTGTACATTGGAAATTAATGCATACCCTGGTTACAGGTACTGGACTGGATGACATCATAGGAGTGAAATAATGTCTTTATTTTATTTTATATTAATTTATTTTGTATTGTATTGATATGGTTTGTTTGTTTGTTGTTTAATGCTGCACTCAGCAATATTCCAGCTTTATGACGGCGGTCTGTAAATAATCAAGTCTTGACCAGACAATCCAGTGATTGACAACATGAGTATTGATCCATGCAATTGGGGCACGATGACATGCATCAACCAAGTCAGAGAGCCTGACAACCAATCCCATTTGTCGCCTCTTATGACAAGCATTGATGCCTCTGACGGCAAGCATGGATTGCTGAAAACCTATTCTACCCCAGATCTTGATGGGATGCAGCAGGCAGAGACGTTGAAGGGCAAGTATGACAATGTGTTGATGGTTGGCTGACTTGTATGCTTGAACACAGGATGTTCTTCTTTCTAGGAAACACACGAGTTGTGACACAGACAGCCCTTCAGACTTTTCAAGATGAAATGGGCAAGGTGAAACGTGATCCTTACAAGGTTGTCATGCAGCAGACAAAGCTACCAATCACATTGCTGAATGAGGTTGCAAAGGTCAGTTTCATCTGATTACATCATCAGACTCAAGTATCGGATATTAAGAGAATAATATACTACTCAAAAGAAGTTAAGGAACACCCGATTTTATCACATGACTATGAAACAGCCTGCCAGTTGTGGGGATTCTAAACAGCCTGCCAGTTGTGGGGATTCTAAACAGCCTGCCAGTTGTGGGGATTCTAAACAGCCTGCCAGTTGTGGGGATTCTAAACAGCCTGCCAGTTGTGGGGATTCTAAACAGCCTGCCAGTTGTGGGGATTCTAAACAGCCTGCCAGTTGTGGGTGTTCTTTAACTTGTTTTGAGTAGTATATTGGAACTATGAGGACTTGTGGATTCTTTCCCGATTTAATTTTGTGCCAAGCCTTGGTGAGAATGTTCAACATTATTTAATGGGAACAGATTATGAATAAATCTGAGTGCGTTATTTTCCATAATACTGATATTTTTTACTTATCCTGCATTACTCCTTAATGCATTCACTGCTTACTTACGACAACTAGAAGGACAGCGCTGTGAAGGTCCTGGTTGAAGAAATAAAGTTGTTGTTCTCAAGTCCCAATCAGTGGCCTTCCGTTGCTGTCCTGTGACCTTGATGACACCTAAGGTCATCTTCACATCACTGCTTGTCGCAGCACAGCTAGGACGTGTCCCAGCGGAGCTCTCCTTTTGGATTAATTTTAGACCTTCAGTTTGTCTACAATCCTAAATTGATCTGCGATGGGTGATGTATTCTTTTCATATTACTTTCACCATGTTGTGTAGTTTTATGTGAATTAATTAGTCGTGAAAAGACTCTTGTCTTTTTTCCCGCCACAATATTGTTGTTCGCCGCCATTTTGAATTGTGTTACAATCGTTTGCCTGCCAAGGTAGTCATATTGTTTACAATTCTCAGCTACGTATGTATAACATAGTCTTATGTTCTTAAATACTACTAGCTTTGGCGTAAGAGTGAGTTGCGTATACTCAAATTATTGTATACCTTTTCAACTCGTTAAAAATATGGTTGCCAATAGATTAATATTAAATCTACGGGTTTCTTCCAGTCCCGCTTCATCAACAATTCTTTTATTGCATACCTATGTTTATGCGATTAAATAGTTTTTTGTTGGTCTTTTTGGTTTACATTGAGTTGCGTATATGTACTATTGTATACTCTTGCAACTCATAGTTTTGTCGATAGATTATTGTTCAATTCTATGGCATTCTTCCAGTACCGCCTCATCAACAATGGCGTAATTGTGTAACTTATGATTGAGCGTGGTACTAATTGTCGTGGGAAAAATCTTACAAAGATTATCATCCACGTTGTTTGGTCTGTACGCAGATGTGCTCTCCAAACCCTAAATGAAAATATAAATACCCTTGGTTTACATTGAGTTGCAAAATATTGTATACCCTTGCAACTCATAATTTTGCCGATAGATTAGTGTTCAAATTCTTCGGCACTCTTCCAGTATTGTCTCATCAACAAGGGTTTAATTGCGTAACATACCTTTGAGCATGGTACTAATTGTCGTGGAAAAAACCTTACCAAGATTATCATCCACGTTGGTTGGTTTGCGCGCAGATGTGCTCTCCAATCTCTAAATGTAAATAGCCTTGGTTTACATTGAATTGCGTATATAAAAATATTGTATACCCTTGCAATTCGTATTTTTGCCGATAGATTACTGTTCAATTCTACGGCGTTCTTCCAGTACCATTTCTTCAATGGTTAAATTGCGTAACTTATGTTTGTGTGGTGTACATATTGTCATGGAATAATCGCCCAAAGATCTTTATCCACGGTCCTAGGCATGCACGTAGATGTGCTTGCCAAAATTCAAAATGTAATTTTTGTGTAAATCTCTAATCCAACGAGTTTACTATATAAAAGCAGGTTACTCACAATCATATTTTGCAGTTATTCCGTCGTGAGACGAGAGGAATGTCACTATCGCAGAAAAGCGAATGACATGGTTCGGTCATTACAACCCAACCGTTATTATCGGCAGGTATTATTACGCCTGTCACTGCAGAAGTACACCATCCACCGAAATCAACAATACCGGAGGATTTTGTGAGTATCGTAACTGCTCCTATATTTTCAGCCGCCGGACACTTCCAGATACATGTATGTTAATCTGTGACGTCGACGACAGCACCAGCGTATCAAGATGCTATGATGGGGGTAGATTAGACGCAAGCCTTGATCCAGTCAATACCTTTGAGCTTTGTGTCTCAGTTATCTGCGCCGAGCGCAGCACTTGTCTACAACCCAAGCACTTCTATTACGCAAGCGACGCACGATCAGCTTAGCACTGTTCCAACATATCCAGCATAGACCTGCGCCGAGCGCAGCGTCTGACTGATACCCAAGCGCTCCTATTACGCAAACGAATCAAATAGGCTTAGCGCTGTTCAAACATAGCCAGCATAGACCTGCGCCGAGCGCAGCGTCTGACTGCTACCCAAGCGCTCCTCAGTAATGCCCTCCCCTGATAACGGGGTAAATAAGAGGGACACCACGAGGTCGTTGGAGGAAGACTTCTCCAAAACTAACATTTGCTCCGTCATTTAAGCGACCAATATCGTCAATGTTTGCAGTGTATCAGAATCTATTAGAGGATAACCCTATCTGATTAGATCACTTCCAAACTATGGTGTTTTTCCTACAGCGTCAGTTTGACCACAGGAAAATTCATCTTGAGACCATTCGGACGGAGATTACCGTTACACCCAAGACTTTCCAACTGAGATTCTGGTTTCAAGGGCAGTCTATTACGTCAACCTTGGTCATCTACTCCCCTGTTCAACGAACAGATCGCAGACACGCATGTCAAGTTCCAAAAAAGCTTGGAAAGTCTAAGCGGGCTGGCAAGTCAGGAAATTATAAGCCTAGACGCACGTTTCTCAGGGAAGACCAACATTCCCTTACTGGGAAAAGGGCGTGGCAGAGACAAGTCTCAAGGATGATCGATTTCGTACTTATCGCACTATATCATGGTGTCCGTATAAGGGTAGAGATAACCCCACCGTTGACCACAGTTTGATTGGGAAAATCCAACATAGACATACTGTTGGTAAGAAGAGCTGTAGAGTGGGTTCACAACCCAGTCTTTACACCAGGGTTTTATCCTCACACCTACCTGGTACTCATGAAGGACCCAGACAAGATGAGAATGATCCACAATCTCTCTGTGTTCAACGAACGTTTGATTCTTGATCAGTCTCGACTATCCATCCCAACCATAGACTTTTCAGGTCCAGTTCATTGGGGTTCACTACCAATGGTAGTATTTCCCATTTGACATGTCAGTGACACTTATGGCTATTTACAGGAGTAATGAAGCCAATAACTATCTACACTTGACGAACACTTGGTTCGAGTCGTAGATGGAGGGCGATCTACTGTATCATCAACACATGTCAATAACTGGGATAGACAATCAACGAGGCGAAGTCGGGAGTATTCTCCTTCCTATTGACTTCAGTTCATAGGAGACCAGTTCAAGACAGACCAGGATATCCTATCTGTACCGAGGGACAGATGGCACAAGTTTCTACTTCTGTTGTCATCTACTCTACACCAACCACACACACTTCGCCAGTGGCAAGTGTTGCTAGGGTTAATCACCTCGGCACAGGAGTTAACTAGCATGGGCCGCTTACAACTGCGACCAATTCAATTTTTTCCTGAACCCTTACATCAGGAGTCAGGATCCACTCAAGGCCATCACTCTACTGACTAAGCTAGGGCCTTGCATCAATTTGTGGCGTTGAATGTCTGCGGAGTCTCTTTATTTGGGTTTTCCCCGAATACACACCTGTTTGTGGACGTCCCCTTTCAGGGGTGGGGTCTTCACTAACAAGACCAGATAAGCTCAGGGCTATGGCCCGGCGCTCAATGGAAGTGGCACATAAACAACTTGGAGTTGGAAGCTTTAATTCTGGCTATATCACATTGGCAGAATCAACTACAGTTAGCCCGACTCGCAATATCCACAGACAACAGCATTGCGGTGTGGTGCCTGTGCAATCGGGGAACAACACACTCCCACTCTCTACTTCTACAGACATTCAGATTTGTTCCATCTAGTGGATCGGCTGTGACTAAAGTTCATAGTTCAGCACATCCCCGGATGTAGAAACATACTGGCCGATACTTTATCACGTCCAGACAGGGTGGCTCCCACCGAGTGATAATTTCTCACAGAAGCATTCCAGTTACTGCTTCAGGAATTCAGGCAATCAAACATTGACTTGTTTATTACTTGCCTAGGCCACCAACTCATGACGTATATCGCCCCGTTGCCGGATCCGCAGACTTGGGCGTTGGACGAGTTCAGTATCACTTGGGAAGGGCAAAAAACTTTTCTGCCACCACTTTTACTTCCCAAGGTGATACAGGGGATCAAGGAGACAAGGTATCTCGATCTCTCCTTTGGTCGCACCCTGGTAACCGGCGAGAGGGTAGTTCGTCAAGCTCGGAAAAATCTAGCCGAAAACGATTCACTACCCCTCTCACAGTGGCCCAACCTACTCATCCACCCTCAACAGCAAATTGCCTCAACCAACGTCTGCACGCATGGTTCGTCTTTAAAAGGCGTTTAAGTGCGAAGGGTTATTTCGACACGGGCAGCAAAGCTATAGCTTTAGTTCATCGTTACTCTGCCAGAGACTATACGATGACAAGTGGGGATCACTTGAGACTTTTTACAGGGAAGAAAAGAATCAAGACCCTACGATTGCGTCACAATTCCTAGAGGAATACCTCCTACCTTGCGTACCCAAAAACACTTGGAAGGTAGCACCATTACTACATAATTGGCTGCAATTATCTTAGTGTTGGCCGTTTCCGGAAAATCACAATGTGATTAAGGTCACGGAACTACAGGCCATATTATGCTAATTCAGGCTTGAGGATCAGAAGGCCAAGTTCCGCCCACCTGATTGGGACTTGAACGTGGTACTTCGAGGTTTGCGAGGGCCGCCTTCGAGCCCCTCATTGCATCCTCATTTTCAAGCTCCTTCCCAGCGCGTGACACCTTCGTTACACTCTCGGTATAGTATAGAGAGCTCCGCGAACGGGCTATCGCTGTGAGGAGCTTGCCTCATTTCATGACCTCACCAAGGAAACAATGGTTTCTCTTGGCATTAGCAATGGCGGTACGGGTGAGCGAACTACATGTGATCGACTCAACCCGGATCCGTTTTGAGCATGGGACACACAGAACGGGACATCTAGGGTTATGCTGGGATTTTATTGCTAAAATCTACTACCAGGCCAACCCGACCGTTCCTTCACCATCCCACTGATATCGACTATTGTGGGAATCGTACGTGATGAAGTTCTCCTGGGCTCGGTGCGAGCAGTTCGAGTTTTCATACGACGCTCCAAGGACAGAAGTTAGTCGCATAATCGCAAACACCATATCTCTATGGTTACGCGCAGTAATCCTTCAGGCCTACGAGATCGTCAAACGGAACTCGCCGAGAGCAATTACCCTCAAGATCTCAAGGTGTCAGCCTTACCAGGGCTCAACACGGCAATTATGGTTTTGGAACAATCACCGAAGGATATTTCTGGAGATTCGACACATATTTTCGTTAGCCATAACCTTCACTTTGGGGCTCTCGAGGATGTCCAAGATGTTCGAAGTTTGGCCCTCTGGTTGTTATCCTGCAGATTGCCAACCCCTGAGGCAAATAATGAACTCGCCCTATACAGAGCCAGTCAACTTCCATGTGCAGTCACTCAGTCGCCACCAGTGGAAGAATATTAGACAATCTTGTTTGTCAGCGACGGCTGTATGATGCAGTATGTAAAGAATTAGCTGAATAGCTATTATTTTCTTTTTTACTAAGTGTGTATAGGGAATTTCACTTTAATTCCTATGTTCAATCTTTTTGATTTTTGAACAACCCTAACGTAATGGCGTTTTTGTCTGAACTTTTCCGCTTCACGGTTTATCGACCAACTGGTGTCGTATTGCAGGGTGTGAATTATTGAGGTTTCTGTATTCTGAAGGTTTACCCACCTCCAAACCGTCCGATACAGATGCATTAAGGAGTAATGCAGGATAAGTAAAAAATTTAGTAAAATCTAAATATTTTTTACATTTGTATACTTATCCTGCATTACTACGTTTAAGGCCCACCCGTCGTAAGACTTGCCTCCCCTCTTTGGCTTCAGAAACCTCAAAAGTTTGTTTTTCTAAGAGCTTGGGCGACAAGCAGTGATGTGAAGATGACCTTAGGTGTCATCAAGGTCACAGGACAGCGACGGAAGGCCACTGATTGGGACTTGAGAACAACAACTTTATTTCTTCACCCAGGACCTTCGCAGCGCTGTCCTTCTAGTTGTCGTAAGTAAGCAGTGAATGCATTAAGGAGTAATGCAGGATAAGTATACAAATGTAAAAAATATTTAGATTTTACTAAATTTCATCAAGAAGAGTACAATAATATTGGTATGTATGTAAACTGCATCATCCCAGTAAGTCTATGGTTGGAACAATGCCAATATTATGCCTTGTCACGACATGTTTGATGGATGACGTGGTCTTCAACTATTTGCGACAATGCCTTGTCATGACATGTACGATGGATGACGCGGTCTTCAACTATTTGCGACAATGCCTTGTCATGACATGTACGATGGATGACGTGGTCTTCAACTATTTGCAACAATGCCTTGTCATGACATGTATGATGGATGACGTGGTCTTCAACTATTTGCAACAATGCCTTGTCATGACATGTATGATGGATGACGCGGTCTTCAACTATTTGCGACAATGCCTTGTCACGACATGTATGATGGATGACGCGGTCTTCAACTATTTGCGACAATGCCTTGTCATGACATGTATGATGGATGACGCGGTCTTCAACTATTTGCAACAATGCCTTGTCACGACATGTACGATAGATGACGCGGTCTTCAACTATTTGCAACAATGCCTTGTCACGACATGTACGATGGATGACACGGTCTTCAACTATTTGCGACAATGCCTTGTCATGACATGTATGATGGATGACGCGGTCTTCAACTATTTGCAACAATGCCTTGTCACGACATGTACGATAGATGACGTGGTCTTCAACTATTTGCGACAATGCCTTGTCACGACATGTACGATGGATGACGCGGTCTTCAACTATTTGCGACAATGCCTTGTCATGACATGTATGATGGATGACGCGGTCTTCAACTATTTGCGACAATGCCTTGTCAAAACATGTATGATGGATGACGTGGTCTTCAACTATTTGCGACAATGCCTTGATACGATATCGGGTTGCTATGGACGCTTTAAAACATGGAAGACAATGAATATTGATTCTAAAATTGGTGTGAAATACCCAATCAGCATGAGCTAATGCTATGATGCTCATTGAGAATTACCCGCAGTAGTTTCACCAGTACTGTAGGCATGTACACCAAGAGACCAAACATTAAGCTTGTAACATCCCGTCCACGCCTCTAGGGACACGACCGCCTCTGTGGTCTGGTGGTGGAGCATCTGCCTGGAGAGCGGGTTGATCCCTGACCGCGTCATACCGAAAGACGTTAAAAGATGGTACATGTTGTTAACCTGTCTGGTGCTCGGCATGGTCAGTTCGGGGTCTGTATACTGTATACTGTGTATACTGGGGTATTCATGTTAAACTGCAGTATGATATCTCAGTGGGCTGGCACTATCAAATGGGCATTAGTCAAGATTAGTACAAGCATCCACGTACGTCGCTCTTATAGTGCAATAATCTTGAACGTGATGTTAAACCCCATTTCACCTCACCCCACCCCACCCCACCCCACCCCACCCCACCCCACCCCATCCCATCCTATTTTCAGTGAAATGTGTTTGTGTGACAATATCAGTTCTGCTTTACGACCACTAGTGGGTTCGGAATGGTAACATTAAATGTCAATTATGATATGATGAGCAGATGACATCATATGGAACGTTATGATGTCTTGATGTCCATTGAGGTTGGTCATCGCTATATGTAAGGGGCACGGATGGCCCAGTCGTCTAAGGTGCCGCGATTCGCTGTGCAGAGTTGCGTCCCTTGGGTACGCCAGAAACCTATGGTTGTGGGTTCGAATCCTGGTTCGCCCCGATTATGTTTCTAGGTTTGTCAGCACCATACCCGTGCTCATGGGTAAACGTCTGAGACCTGCATCACTTCGGGCTTTCCTCCCACAGTAAGCTGACACGCCGCGATATAACTGGAATACTGTTAAAAGCGGCGTTAAACCCAACTCACTCACTCATCGCCATATATAAGAGCAATAATCTTAAACACGACTTTAAACCCCATTTCACCTCACCTCACCTCAGGCTGGCCAACTTGTATGTGTTTCTACATGATGGCAACTGGCCAGTCTGAAATCTGGATATTATGACAAGTAATGGTAATAAATCATCTCAGATCAGCCAACATGTTATTATCTTCCTCCCCAACGAAGTTGGCGGGGGATATAGAAATGGGTTCCATGCGTGTGTGTGTGCGTCCCGAAATCGTTTCCGGAGCATAACTCAGAAACCGTTAAATATTTCTGTACGAAACTTTGCATGTCTTTCAGACTCATGCTGAACTGGTGCCTTTTGCTATTTAGGAATTTTATAATTTTTTATTTTTTACGTTTCCATGGCAACAAGTTGGACTTAGGTTCTAAAAGGGTGCTGTTCGTTTCCAGAGCATGCTGTTCGTTTCCAGAGCGTATCTCAAAAACCGTTAAATAATTTCTTACAAGACTTTGCATGTTTACCAGACACATACTGAACTGGTGCCTTTTGCTATTTAGGAGTTTTATAAAGTTTTATTTTTTACATTTCCATGGCAACAAGTTGGACTTAGGTTCTATAGGGTAGAGTTTGTTTTCGGAGCATAACTCAAAACCCATTCAATTCTTTCCAACAAAAACTTTGCATGTTTACCAGACACATACTGGACTGGTGCCTCTTGCTATTTAGGAATTTTAGAAATTTTTATTTTTCACGTTTCCATGGCAATAAGTTGGATTTAAGTTTTAATATAGGATTGGTTTACTTAAGGAGTATAACAAATAAACTGTTAAATATTTCCTTGCCAAACATTGCATGTCTATATATAAAGCGCATACTGAACTAGTGCCATTTGATATTAAGGAGTTTTAGAAATGTTTATTTTAGAATTTCCATTGCAGCTATTTTGACATGGGCTAAGAGAAATGTTGGGTCAGTTACCTGGTTTGGGACCATAACGTGTTAAAATGGGCGGGGGATATAGATGACTTTGTCAACTATACGCTTGTTTTATATTTCTGTTCATACTCTGCATATTTCGATTGTCTGTCAATTTGATGACTTCAAATACAATAACTAGTATAACTTTGATGTTTTTATCAGTCATGAAGGTGATTCCTTGAAGCTATCTTGTAGTTGCTTAACTTGTTTGCCAGTTGTAAGATGCTGAAGGTAGAAATGCTTGATTCATTGAATCATTGTTGTTCCAGAACGCCAGAGTTCATCTACTTGACACAGAATCATTTGAGACAACATTTGGGAAGAAGTCTCAGAGGAAACGTCCGAATCTGAAAGTAGCAGACATGTCGGTGAGTGCAGACGGACAGGTCAACTAATTGTGAAGAATTAATTCGTGAATCAAACTAACAGTACAGTACAATTGTTGATAGGCAGCATGCTAGCAATCTGCTGAACCTAACAATTGCTGGATGTTTTTTGTGTTTTTGTTTTGTTTGTTGTTTAACACCACACTCCAGCCATATGACAGCGATTTATAAATAACAGTCTAGACCACACAATCCAGTGATTGACGTCATGAGCATCAATCTACACCGTTTGGATACAATGACATGCATCTACCAAGTCAGTGAGCTGACCACTGATTAATCGCCTCTTATGACAAGCATAGTTGCCTCTAACGGCAAGCATGAGTTGCTGAAGACCTATTCTACCCCGGATCTTAATAGGTAAAGTATTCTATTACAGCAGGCAGAGACGTTGAGGGGGAAGTATGACAATGTGTTGATGGCTGGCGGACTTGTTGTAGGCGCTGGTGCAGCAGGCGGAGACGTTGGGAGGCCAGTATGACATCAGCAAGGACCATGACCTAGTGGAGGAGGACACTGGGGTGAAGGACGAGACCCCAGAGATTGTCTTCAAGGCAGGGCAGTCCAAGAGAATCTGGAATGAACTGTACAAGGTACGGAGAGGAGGGGTTCATAGCAGTGTTTGAAATATATAAAAAATGCCAGCCTAGCATCAGGAACTACAGATTTTAGAAGATGCAGGCCCTGACAAAGCTTTTCAGGCCCTCATTTAAATAACTGCTGCTTATTGTGACAAATAAATTGACATGTAAATGTATTGCAGACCATAGGTGAGGTGAAATTGGGTTTAACGTCGCGTCCAAGATTATTGCACTTACATGGCATGCACGTGTACATGTATGTGTGTGTGTGGCTGCTTGTACTAGTCCGGACTGATGCCGATTTATAGTGCTAGCTCACTGAGATACTATGCCGCAGTTTAACATGAATACCCCACTCAGACACAGTATACTGACTCCGAGCTGACCAGTCCTTGTTTTAGCCCCTTAATGCCGAGCGCCAGACAGGGTAACAACAAGTACAATCTTTTAACGTCTTTTTGTATGACGCGGCCCGGGATCGAACCCTGGACCTTCCGCTCTCCGGGCGGACGCTCTACCACAAGACCACGGAGGAGGTCCTGCAGACCATAAGGACCCATACAAGTTTTGACACCATGGGCTGAAACAAGATCTATCTGCCAAGGGCAGGCGCTTATTTCGAACACTGGGCTATGGTAAATGAGGCCAATTGAAGCACACTAGACAGCGATATTACAACCCAAAATTGATTCCTCGTTATGAATCCCAATTTGGAAAAGATCTAGATTTGTTATCATCATTACAATGGTGCCCGAATTGGATTAATTTGTGTGGTCTTGTTCTTGATAGTGGGTAATGATACCAGTGAGTGTGGGACATGACATTGCTCATGATATCGGCCACTGGTTTGTCTGGCCCAGATTTGATCTGTGTGATGCAGCAGACTGTGGCAGCAGACAAAACAAACAAACAAACAAACAAATTGTATCGTCACTGTCCTGTAATGCTTCCCTCCGTGCTGCAGGTGATCGACTCCTCTGACGTGGTGGTTCAAGTCCTGGACGCCCGGGATCCTCTTGGCACGCGCTGCTACCAGGTGGAGAAATATCTCAAGAAGGAAAAGTCACACAAGAATCTGATCTTTGTTCTGAACAAAGTCGACCTGGTGCCTATCTGGGTGACTGTAAGTACTCCTGGTAGCATTGGGTACTGTGGGCTGTTCTAGACTGTCAACCACAAGTTGGCCTGCTCCAAGTCAGATTAACCTGTACAGCGAACAGGACAACACTGTGACATTGCTGATTTTGTCCTAAAATACCCAGTTTGCTCGGATGTTGGAGGTCTGACTAAAAACTCAGAATTTGGGAGATGTGTGTGCTTATTATTGTCCTGTTCCTTGTATGTAAGGAAACATCTTGTGATTCTATGTTATTTTACAGCAAAAGTGGGTGGCCATTCTGTCTGCAGAACATCCGACCATGGCGTTCCATGCCAGCATAACGAACTCCTTCGGAAAGGGGGCTCTCATCAACCTCCTCCGGCAGTTTGGCAAGGTAGGTAAAGGGAGACAACTCCTGTATGGGAGTGATATATCTCTGTTACAGCCTCATATTTCTGTTACACTTTTCCATACCCAGTGGGGATTCCGTGTTCGTATAGTTCCCCAGCAACCTGTGCTTGTTGTAAGAGTCGGTGGATCTGGTTGTCAGGCTCAGTGGCTTTGTTGATTGACTGTCATTCTACCTGTCAGTGCTAATATCAATCACTGGTTTATCTGGCCAAGACTTAATTATTTACATACTGCGATCATACAGCAGACAGACAGACAGACAGACAGCTTCATCCATCTGTTACAGCTTTCTCTTTGTGTTACAGCTTCACATTGACAAGAAGCAGATCAGTGTAGGGTTCATCGGCTACCCTAACGTGGGGAAGAGCTCCATCATCAACACCTTGAAGGCAAAGAAAGTCTGCAAGGTCGCCCCCATCGCTGGAGAAACCAAGGTCAGTCTTACGTCTATTGTGTCATATTCGGGTCCTGTGATAAACTACAGTCAAAACTCTGTTATGTCGGTGTTGAAGGGATGTATGCAAATACCCGGTACTTTGAGTTATCCGAGGTTCGTCACAACCAAAAAGGATGAAGGGACCAAGCTTTTACTTCGAGACAAACATAAGTTTGACACATCAAATTTCAACACAATGGTGTTTCACTGAACATTTACATATATCCCCCATCCCCCCCACCCCACCTCCACCCCACCTCCACCCCACTCCAACAGCTGTTTATCCTTGCCTTGTAAGATGTGACATTACCCACAATGCTGTGCTGCAGGTGTGGCAGTACGTGACGTTGATGAGGAGGATCTTCCTGGTGGACTGTCCTGGTGTGGTGTACCCGACCGGAGCCACACAGACGGAGATTGTACTCAAGGGAGTTGTAAGTTCTGCATTCAGCATCATCATGATTCTCCATGAAAACTGCAGGAAGTACGAGACAATCAAGTAATCTAATACCCTCTGCTGTACCTCTTCCTTTGCATAGCTCTGAACCAGTGCGTGTCAACCAGTCCATTAGACAGCAGGTCGATTTTGACCAGATTGTTGATTTAAGGGAATAGAATATTTTTATGATGCAAACTTATTTCCTCTTATACTGGCTATGTAAATGATACTGCCTTGTGCCATGCTTGGCTGTGGCTGAGCAATGTGGAATGTCTGCTGACCACAGTTGTATTACAAAACAAGATGGTTCTAGATAGGAAACATTTCTGCGAATTGATATGAGTTCATAAGAATATGTTCTCAACCTGATTACACATTGGAGACTCCAGCTAGGTGCCTACACCTGTTCTAATGATACTGAAGCTGGGTGCCTACACCTGTCCTTGTGTGACTGAAGCTGGGTGCCTACACCTGTCCTTGTGTGACTGAAGCTGGGTGCCTACACCTGTCCTTGTGTGACTGAAGCTGGGTGCCTACACCTGTCCTTGTGTGACTGAAGCTAGGTGCCTACACCTGTCCTAGTGATACTGAAGCTGGGTGCCTACACCTGTCCTTGTGTGACTGAAGCTGGGTGCCTACACCTGTCCTAGTGAGACTGAAGCGAGGTGCCTACACCTGTCCTAGTGTGACTGAAGCGAGGTGCCTACACCTGTCCTAGTGTGACTGAAGCTAGGTGCTTACACTTGCCCTATTGTGACTGAAGCGAGGTGCCTACACCTGTCCTAGTGTGACTGAAGCTAGGTGCCTACACCTGTCCTAGTATTACTGAAGCTAGGTGCCTACACCTGTCCTAGTGTGACTGCAGCTAGTAACACCTGCCCTGTTTTGATATGACCTCTTCACCCTAGGTTCGTGTAGAGAACATCCGGAATCCTGAGGACTACATTGGTGCTATTTTGGAGCGTGTCAAGACTGAGTATATCAACAAGACGTACAAGATAGACAGTTGGACAGGGCCTGAGGACTTCATCGAACAGATAGCACGCAAGTCAGGACGGCTGCTGAAGGTCAGTGCCTAGGTATCTGTGTGTACTTACCAGGGAAGGAAATAGCAGGAATAGTAATATATAATACTGACACCCTTTCAAAAGCCTGGAATTCAGAATTCTACTAGCCCGCAGTATACCTTTACATTGGGCAAGGGGGCATGGGTAGTCCAGTTGTCTGAAGGTGCAATTTGCTGTTCAGAGTTGTATCCCTTGGGCACGCCAGAAAACTATGATTGTGGGGGTGGAATCCTGGTTCGCCAGATTTTGTTTCGAGGATTTGTTAGCACAATACTCTTTGCGTGGGCTAATAGTACTGTCCTAACAAACCTATAGATGTTTAGATACATGCAGGTTGCTTTATGTCAAACTGACATTTATACAAAGGCCAGATGACCCATGAAGATCCGGGTTAGAATACATCTTCAGCAACCCATGCTTTACGTGAGAGGCTGGAATATTACTGAGTGTAGCGTTAAACAAGCAAACAAACAAGCAATGGGCAGACAAAGGGGAGGTCAGGTGAAGGCGAATATATTGCTCTGCTGTAATTACGTTAGACCATGTATCCTGAGCACTGTAAACTACCAAAAAGAAAGGGGCGGTAGGGTAGAAGAATGGTGAACGCATCCACTCGTCACACCCAAGGCCCAGGCTTGATTCCTCACATGTACAATGTGTGAAGCCCACTTCTGGTGTCCCCCACTGTGAGATTGCTAGACTGTTGCTTGAGGCAACATAATACCATACTCACTCACTCATGCACTCAAAAGAAGTTGAAGAACATCTGATTTTTTCATACAACTATAGTTAATCTGTCATGGGATGACAGATTAACTGTGGTCATATGTAAAAGATGTGTGTTCTTTAACTTCTTTTGTGTAGTACATCTTACTCGGTAATGAGAGGCTGAACTTTTGTATGTGTTGAAATCATCAATCAACATCACATACATCTCATCTTGAACACAATCCATGTGTATACCTGACACACAGAACATCATATTGTCCTGCATTGTGTTTGAGTTTGTCAAATGTTGCGGATGTTGCAGGGTGCGGAGCCAGATGTCAGCACCATGTCCAAGATGATCCTCAACGACTGGCAGCGAGGCAAGATCCCATACTTCGTCCGGCCACCAGAGTCACAGGTAAGGTCAAGGCTGTTGGTGAATGTTCTTTGTTAAATAGGAGTAAAATCTTTCAGACTGTTAAATTTCTTCCAACTTAAATTGTCTTCTTTGAGTTTTCAATTTGTTATCAGAAGAATAAGAAGTAAAACATACAAAGTATATTATTACATTAAGTAATATGTTACCACTGTTATACCGAGGCTGTTGTCTCCCACAACTGCTCTTATAGCGAAATCTACCACAGAGATTCAATTACCTCATGCAGCACGTGCGTAGCCACCTGAGCTGCCATGTGACACCCTTCACTCTTGTCTCTTCACTTGCCTCAGCAAGACGTTCATAGACTGCTCGGAAGCGTTCCTGTTTCTTCATCCTTTGGTGATATTTATTACTGTTTATTAAAAGCATATAAACTGTATCTATTGAGGGCGTTTGCTTTAACTACACTCGGAAATATTTTTCCCGCCAATAGGAAAAACTTTTCCCGCCCTTTTCTCTATATACTTACAGGGTGTTTCTTCTGCACGTTGCGCCTTACGTCTTGGTTTTTTTTACATTACCTATTTCTCTAACACTAAAATATGTGTATGTTTTATATTCGCATTACTCGTTTATTTTCTTGTGAAAATGTTCATTGTGAATATTTGTGGCGCTTGTGTTGTAACCATGTTTTGTTCTTTGTTTATAGCTTAAACAATGTCTGACATGGACACTTCGCCATGCTCCACCCCCTCCACTCCCGCAACTAGGTGTTACGCGGTGTGCCGCAAATTTCGATCGTCCCGGGATCCCCACGATCGTTGCCCGCGGTGCAGGGTTCCTTGCGGAACACCTGGTGCGCCCTGTGCGACGGTCTGGGGCCTGAGGCGTCCGAGGGCTACAGGCTCTACGTGCAGTCTGTCTCCACCCCTGTGGTGGCCGGCTCGTCCGGTCGGGGTCCCCTTGCGGGTACCACTTCCACGTCTGCAGCGGATCCCCTGGCGGCACTTGGGCTGATCGGGGATTCAGTCACTGCGTTGCTTTCACAACTTGTTGACTCCAGGCTGGCAGCCTTTTCCCAGGATAGGCCACTGGCTGTTCTGTCCCCGGCCTCTTTGGTGGCCGGGGGTTCGGACGCGGGGTCTTTCGTTGAGACGGGGGCTCCCATGGTCACCGGTCCTTCCCCCGAAACCGTTGGCTCCGCTATCGGTTAAGGACCGCGTGGCCATGGTTTATGACCTCTTTGAGGACATGCCCAAGCCCCTGCCAGTACCGCGGGGATTCCACGGCTCTGTGGGTTCCGCCAAGGTCTACGAGGAGTCGTCTGACAAGGCTTTCCCCGCTTCAACCTTGTTGGGTGGTATTAAGCCTTCCCTGGAGAAAGGATTCATTCCCGGTGCATGACCTTGCCTTCCCCGAGGCCGGTCCCACCGCAGAGGTCCACGTTGAGCGTTTGGGTGTTCGTGCCCCACTGGCTGCTACGGTGCCACAGGCTACCTTGCAGCAATTTGACACCCTCGCTAGGCGCTCCATGCTCGCTATGTCCCACGGGGATACCTACTTGGCAGCAGCGAAGGTTCTCCCACAGACCGAGACCAGCACATTTACAACTGTTTAATCGGTTTAAATGCTTCGCTTGAGTATGTCGCCGGGGCTTCGGCCTTTCTTTCCGGCACGTGCCACTTCCTCAGACGGCAAGCGTACCTTGCCGCCTCGGGGTTGGACGCTGCTAACCAGGAGGTCCTCCTTTCGCAGCCGTGGTCTGCACGGACCCTGTTTAATAACAAGATCCCTGGCGTTCTCAAAGAACAACAGGCTGCTGTGTCCGCCGAGGCCTCTCGGGACACGCTGGATCTTGTTGGGTCCTTGCATCAACGCCTGGGTGCTGCGGCCGGTAGGTCCAAAGGGTCAGGTCCTTCTTCCTCCGGGAAGAAGCCCCGCCCCGAGGGCGCCAGTAAGGGCAATCTGCCGCCCTTTCGCGGGAAGAAGGGACACTGGGGGAAGCCCAAACCGTCTAAGGACGGCAAGGGCTCCTCGAGGTGACTCGCACTCGCCCCTGGACAGTTGCGCCTGCCTCAGCCTGTCAGGCCTCCCTTTCCTTCCCTGGTAGGAGCCAGACTCCAGACTTACTGGGAGAATTGGGAACAAGTGTTCGACGTCCCCTGGGTGGTCAACACGATCCGGTACGGCTATCGGCTAGATCTCAAGGCGGGTCCGCCACTCACCGTCGCCCCGTTGGAAGGTTTCTATTCGGAAGCCGATCTTCCCATCTTGGCCGATACCATCGGCAGGTTGGTGGAGAAGAGGGCAGTACGGGAGTTAGCGCTACCAGAAATAACACCGGGGTTTTTCTCGTTCCCAAGAAGGACAGTGCCGAGAATGATTCACAACCTGAAATCGTTCAACGAGTTTTACCTACACAAACCGCCCAAGTTCAGAATGTTGACCTTGGCGGACCTGTAAGCACTGATCATGCCCGCCGACTGGCTCGCATCAATCGACCTGAAGGATGCTTATCTGCATGTTCCGATTCATTCGGACCATCACAAGTATCTCAGGTTCGTCTTTCAAGGCCAGCACTATGAATGGGTAGCACTCCCATTCTGGCTTATCGTCCGCTCCCTGGCTGTTCACCCGGTTAACCACCCCCATTTTGGGGTTCCTCCACAAGAGGGGTATCAGGTACTTCGCGTACCTGGACGACTCGCTAGTGGTCAATCAAATGACGGACACCCTGTCACGCCAACTCGATTTCGCACTTCGGCTCTTGGAGCAATTGGGGTGGATTGTCAATCTCCCCAAGAGCGAGTTAACCCCCTTGCAGAACTTGCAGAAGTTCATCGGAGGTCATTTCGCCACGGTGACCCATCGCCTCTTTGTCCCCCCAGATCGGTGGCACAAGATTCAGGCGATGATTGCCAAAGTCTTAGCGGTGCAACAGACTGTTTACTTTTGGGAATAGCTGTTAGGGCTACTTGTATCAGCCCAAGACTGCACCGAACGGGGTCGTCTCCAACTCGGCAACATTTGCCCTACACTCTAATATCTCTGTTCACAGAATATTGAGAGGTTGTTGCTGGCGTTCTGACTCGGTATTTGCCAATCATTACCTCAGAAAGGTTTCTGATGAAGACGTGGAGGGTGTGCACCGTCTTGGGCCGCTGATCGCGGCACAAGCGGTCATCTAAGGGGTGTGCTTAGCGCAGTTCCAAACTCCTCAGGCTTCAGACCTTTGCACGGTGGTCAATCTGGGTCGACTCCAATGTTCCCACCGCTGTGGGTAACAGGAGTGGGGGTCCCGCAAACCAGCACTCTCACACCACAGGTGAGGCGTCTTTTTGTGTGTTTTGTCCTTATTTGTATTTTTGACAGTTATTTATTTAATTGTCCGTCATGTGTTCGAACCTTGTAATGCATACTTACAAATACTGGAATTAGGTCACGCATACTTTAAGTAGGCTTGCTTTGGGATATAGAGTCCGGATGAAATTAATTTCCCTCTTCCCGGCTGTTTAACCTGATCTAAGGTTCAGCTCACACGGGTACTGTGTTCTCATCCGCTGCGGGGATGAAATACCTATCCAGTGAGGCCGTTTGGAGTCACCAATCGTTTGGCAAAGACGATTGAGCCTTACGGTATGCGCTTGACAGTGCTTTGGTATTCCTATAGGGTAACGCCAAGCTGGGAGCATGCGCATCGAGTGCTTCCGCCTTGTTTACTTCCGCTGGTCGGAAAAGGAAAAACGAGCAGTCAGGTTTGGGTTGTAGCGCTCCCCACCGCCTACTGTGGTAATCAGCCTCGGTATAACAGTGATAACATATTACCAAATGTAATTTGTAGAATTCTATAAGTAATACGTTACCACTTGGCTGATGCCCGCCCGACCGTCCCTTGAGCACTTGCTCTCGCAAGAGACAAGAGTGAAGGGTGTCACATGGTAGCTAGGTGGCTAAGCACGTGCTGCATGAGGTAATTGAATCTCTGAGGTAGATTTCGCTATAAGAGCAGTTGTGGGAGACAACAGCCTCGGTATAACAGTGGTAACGTATTACTTATACAATTCTACAAATTTTGCTCTTTCTTTCTTGTTTGTCATACAGCATGTGTAGGTTTAAATTAGCACAAATAGAAAACTCTACATTTGTGTAATGTGATCATGTGATGCTCAATACATGTTCCAGGATCACAGCAGAGTTGAGACAACAGACACACCAACACCTACACAAGAGGCCAAGGACACACTGGTCAAGGACACAGAGGGGTCAGGGGACACAGAGGTCAAGGGGAAGGCCAGTAGGAAGAAGCAGCCGAAGGTGATGCAGGATCTGAAGAGGATCCGTGTGGTGCCAACATTCGGGGGTGACGATGTACAGGACATTCAGGAGGATGGTGGGAGCGGTGCAGAGGAGGAGGACAGTGAAGTGGAGGACATTGTTGGAGAAGACAGTGCTGGGGAGGACAGTGATGAAGATGTGGCAGTGGATGAGACTAAAGGAGAACAGAATCAATCAAGTGAGGAATCTTGTACAGTTCTGGACAAGTCCTCCTCTCATGTTGCCAAGGACAATGTGAGGGCAGCTGGCAGGAAGAAGACACAGAGATCATTGGCAAATGGAGGGGAATCCAAAGATGTGAAATCTGAATCTGGGAAGCTGGAGAAGAAGCTAGTGGAGCAGGAGCAAGCAGGGTCTGAAGTCAACAGTGTGGCCAGCGGGAAGTGGACTGTCACAGCTCTTCCAGCACAGACGAGTACTGATCGCAGGAAACCGGCTCAGACGGGTACGTACTGGTTGGATATTGTCTTCAGGTGTACCAAAGTGTTCAGCCATCCCACTGATGACATCCTTTGCTTGTTACATTTGCAGCTTCCATCTTGAAAGTTAGCCTTCTATCCATTAGACGTCAAAGATATGTCTGGTAGGTAGTTGTTTTGGAGATGAAAGTTACAAAGATAATTAGGAGAAAACTTCTGTAAGTCATCCTGGGCCATTAAGTATGCACTATCAATTTGTTGTGTGCGGAGGTGCATCTCTTAGCTCCCAGGAGTTGAATCTACAATTCATCTTCATTATGATCTGTGTCACTACCATATCCATTGAACACGCCTGCATCAGTTGACATTTTTATCTGATACAATTAAGAGCAGTGTAAAACCAAACTCATTCACTCACTCTGTTCTTGCTCTCTGGTGTTTTGGCCTCTGAAATGCTGAGATGACATATTAAGGATGTGTCTTGTGTTAAGGGGAAGGCTGTCTTTACGAACTGAAGGAGACGTCAGCAGTGACTTGTGTCGACGTGGTGGACCCTGGAAAACGGGGACAGAAAAAGCAAACCAAGAAACGAAAACTTCAGGAGGAGTCTCCGCAACCAATGAACAGTAAACAGGTAAGGTCAAAGCCATACCATGTGCACTTCACTGTGAGGTCAAGGTCATATCATGTGCACACCACTGAGGTGAAGGTCATTCCATCTGCACAGTGAAACAGATAGGCCAAGATCAGCTTTTGGTGGGGATTCCTGGGAAGAATAGGTCAATGGTCTGTCATGGTATCTAAGTTTATCTGTTTCACATGTCCCTGTGTGCCATTTTGGGATCCCAGGGGCACAATGGGTGACATTATCCATTACTAGTTTTAGATCCTGCTAAGATCAAGTGGTACTGGTTTCGATGTGTCACCTTGTTGATAGCACTGTCCACAACTGATTTTCTGCAGCTGTACAGTTGTTGACTGAGTTGTTGGTTAACATGAGTTTGAGCTGCAGGGCCTTTGCCCGATTTCAGTGTTCTGGGCCCCGTTCCACAAAGCGAACGTAGCACTACGACTGTCGTAAGCTAATGTTAAAGTATGGGTGTTACAATCACCTTAGGGCTACGATCGCTTTGTGGAACGGGGCCCTGATCCTTTGTTGTATGAGGTTTTGATAACCCTGATACCAACCAACTTTTGTGTTTCAGCGCCGACGTCTAGAGCGGGAGGCCAGGAAACAGAAGATCGGCGTTCACTTCTACTCCGAGTCCAATGTAAAGAACCGTAGCTACCGGTAGAGTTGAGGACCAGAGATTCCTGTATCATTTCGGGGTGTACCATATGTATGTCAATAAAACTGGTTTTGTTATTTGTGTGTTCTGTTGATGAATGACAGGCCTGGAACATCTGCCAGCGACAATGACGGCTTGAAACATCTGCTAGTGACGTAGTGTGTGATTTCAGCCCTTTTTGAAAATTGAATACAGTAAAGTATGTTTATAACGAACACTCTAATAATGAACTAATAGATATAACAAACTGTTAAGTCTGTATTTCATACTAATGTTATGACTTTTTTTTCTCTTGTGAATTAACTTAATGTATCTTGGAAAATTGATATTTGAAACAAAATCACAATCAATATTTTCACGATAGTTACATTTAAAGTAATATTACATTCCTAAACCAGAAAAAATTTACAGTGAGTTTAAAGGTAACACATTAAATATAATTATGGTGGTCTTGACAACGTTTTGAGGTGCAATCGAGCATGCTCTTTCTTCGAAGATTTCAAAGAGCGTCGTACGACTCGTGCTCAAAACTAGTTTGACCAAGGTTACAATATTCAAGGCGGCTGAAGCTTTCAAAATGTTTTGTAGTTGCCATGGGCCAACATTTCCAAATTTGAGCATCAGTGACAAAAATAATGTCCGAAGAAAATCCCTGTTTTGACTTGTGCCATATATATATATATCCTGTGTGTTTGTCAGGTGAACAATTGACTTGCCTTTGCATGTGTGTGTGACAGATGCCACCGGTGGGGCAGGATACACTCACATTTTCGCAAATACCTGGTATCATCAATATTTGATAGTGATTCATAAACACATGCTCATGATGAAGTCAAATAGTCGGAATGTACAATCGACTTCGCTTTTAGCAGAGATTTCTCATGAATAACGGAAATGGTTTTGTTGATTTTATTAACTTTGTTTACTAGTATATCAAAATAACAGTTAATGGTTACTCTCCAATTACATAGAAACAATGGCTCTAGTATCTAGGCCTCATAATATCCATATTGGCCTCACTGTATGGCTGAACACCTGTGAACATGCACCAATATAATTACACTGGATACTGGGGGGAGGGGGGAGCAATATCTTGATGCAGCCATGCTGAATTCACAGACAACGATTCTGCAGGCAATCGCATATTCATGATACTAAAAAAGAGCGGACCTCGCATCATCGACTTAAATTACGGCCGCTATAAGTGATAACACGAGACAACAAAGCCATAGCACGGGACGAGAAAGCAAGAACACGAGACGAAAAAGCGATAGCACGAGACAAGAAAGCGATAGCATGAGACAAGAAAGCGATAGCATGAGACGAGAAAGCGAAAACACGAGACGGGGAAGCGATAGCACGAGACGAGAAAGCTATAGTACGAGACGAAAAAGCGAAAACACGAGAAGAGGAAGCCATATCATTGAACGTACTTCAATTACGACCGATAAAAGGATAACATGAGACAAGAAAGCGAAAACGAGACGGGGAAGCGATAACACGAGACAATTAAAGCGATAACACGAGACGGGGAAGCGATAACACGAGACAAGAAAGCGATTAACACGAGACGGGGAAGCGATTACACGAGACGGGGAAGCGATAACACGAGACAAGAAAGTGAAAACACGTGACGGGGAAGCGATAACACAAGACGGGGAAGCGATAACACAAGACAAGAAAGCGATAACACGAGACGGGGAAGCGATAACACGAGACGGGGAAGCGATAACACGAGACGGGGAAGCGATAACACGAGACGGGGTAGCGATAACAAGAGATAGGAAAGCGAAAACACGAGACGGGGAAGCGATAACACGAGACGGGGAAGCGATAACACGAGACGGGGAAGCGAAAACACGAGACAAGAAAGTGATAACACGAGACGGGGAAGCGATAACACGAGACAAGAAAGCGATAACACGAGACAAGAAAGTGATAACAAGAGACGGGGAAACGATAACACGAGACGGGGAAGCGATAACACGAGACGGGGAAGCGATAACACGAGACGGGGAAGCGAAAACACGAGACAAGAAAGTGATAACACGAGACGGGGAAGCGATAACACGAGACAAGAAAGCGAAAACACGAGACAAGAAAGTGATAACACGAGACGGGGAAGCGATTACACGAGACGGGGAAGCGATAACACAAGACAAGAAAGCGATAACACGAGACGGGGAAGCGATAACACGAGACGGGGAAGCGATAACACGAGACGGGGAAGCGATAACACGAGACGGGGTAGCGATAACAAGAGATAGGAAAGCGAAAACACGAGACGGGGAAGCGATAACACGAGACGGGGAAGCGATAACACGAGACGGGGAAGCGAAAACACGAGACAAGAAAGTGATAACACGAGACGGGGAAGCGATAACACGAGACAAGAAAGCGATAACACGAGACAAGAAAGTGATAACACGAGACGGGGAAACGAAAACACGAGGCAAGAAAGCGAAAACACGAGACGAGAAAGCAAAAACACGAGACGAGAAAGCGAAAACACGAGACGAGAAAGCGAAAACACGAGACGAGAAAGCGATGGCACACGCGAAATCGTTGTGCCTGTAACTATCACTTTCTCGTCTCGTGTTTTCGCTTTCTCGCTGCCGTAACATAAGTTACGGTCACCATAGTCTAACTGCGCACTAAAAATAAACACCCGTTCTTGATACACCGTGCGTGGGCCTAAATTTAATCAATATCCCACGAAGAATGTAACATTAAAAGGCGACGCTAGCAATATAACAACTGTCTGTATATTTCAGTTGCTTGGTAAATTATAACGTCTGGACGTGTGCCAGGATTCTTTGATCGTTGGATGGCGCTGGTACCATGGTTGGTCTTAACCATACCCATACCCATTTGATATTCTGTGGGTGGTTGGTGGTGGTAGGGGTGTGCTGGGATTTTATGGAAATAAAAATATTGTCCCAGGAATTTCTTGAAAAAAATAATCATGCTTTAGACTTTTGAAAAAAGAAGAAATTGTCTGCCACAAACTTACATTGTTGCAAGGTGTTTTTCTTAACAAAATATTCAAGCTCAAAGTTGCCTCGATTATCGCGATTATCGCCATTCAATAATAATACGCCTGGGAGCATTCGTCACCATAGATACCCTGTGTACAATGTATGAAGCCCCTTTTGGTCCCCCCCGCCGTGATACTGCTGGAATATTGTTAAAAGCGGCGTAAAACCATAATCACTCACTATACATGGAATTTCGCACGCCTTGTTGCTAGTGTTTCCTATTTACAGACTTTATATTGCCTCAGATCAGTAGTGTTTTCAAGCACAACACGAGCGTGTCGGTTACTGCTTCCTCCACACAAGTCTGTATTAATGACATCAGTCATTACCAGTTTCACAAAATGTTAGGTCGCCCAACACGATATCAACATCAAGTACTTAATGGGACGTGAATTGTTTCCAAGCGATAAGTAAGTGAGTGAGTGAGTTAGGTTTAACGCCGCTTTTAACAGTATTCCAGTTATATCGCGGCGTGTCAGCTTAATGTGAGAGGAAAGCCCGAAGTGATGCAGGTCTCAGACGTGAAACCCACGAGCTGGGGTATGGTGCTAACAAACCTAGAAACATAATCGGGGCGAACCAGGATTCGAACCTACAATCGTAGATTTCTGGCGTGCCCAAGGGACGCAACTCTGCACGTCCTTAGGCGACTGGGCCAACTGTGCATGTATAACGATTCCAAAGACATCGAATGTGACAGTCTTAAAGTGGAAATAAAGTTAAAAAAAAGTGATGGCGATTTTGTTGCGAATATCAATTTTCCTAGATACATTTAGTCAATTTCAGAGAGGAAAAGCTCATGATATTCGTAGAAAGTATTTAAATGTCAAAAGTGCTGAAATCACACGCTCAGTAATCGGCTCCCAAGACACAGCTATTTGGGGGCGTGGCCTAAAGGTGACAACTGTTGGCTGCCGCGTTTATCTATCTTCTGATTCTTAGCCGTCATACATATAGAGTTTCTGCTATTTCTGTTAATCCCACAAAAATAACTACATTGCATACACTGTTAAATGTGTGAAACGATCTTTGAACTTGACATTGTGAATAATAAAAGTAACTCTTAACAATCGATAACTAGCGTTTTATTACTAACATCCTGTTAGGGCATTAAAACACCTGCTGCCTCGGCCCTATTCCACACAATAAATGCCTGTGAATAATTTATCCCCCCAGTAAACAACTGAAGGCATCTTCAGTCTTGTTACTGAGGTGACATAAGTTTTGGACACGGTAATCAAATGGATGAGCAGACAGGCAGACCGGGCGCCGGCCCAATCGTCATGCTCGTTGAAATTGACCAGAGCATCAAATACCGAGAACCCGTTTTAACCCCAGTAAGGGGAATCCCCTCAGTGGCGGAAATTTTCGTTTGGATGTCGATTTCGCCTGTCGTTCATAATCGTCTGTTTTACGCTATTTCCGTTTCTCAAATTCAATTTTGGCCAGTAAGTATGCCCTTAAGTATTAAAATCTGCAAAGTTGCCATGTTGACTTGACTTGGCCTTTTAGAATCCAAGTATAGGATGATTTAATATGCCCGCGGCATACTTCCACATTTAAATGTATTTACTATGGGGTAAATACGGTAACGAATGTGATTTGAAGAAGGCTGTGCACGTGAAAGCGGTGGCGTCACGTGCTTAAGTTGCAGAGGAGAGGGCAAGAAACATCACCCGAGGCCTTCGCGTCACACAGGCGAGCTGTTGACTTCTTTGTTTGTTAAAAATATACATATAAAGGTAATCAGACTTTAAGTGTATTGCTTGTCTGTGTTGGACCGCCTGTTATTGCAGTGTTGCCGAATGGCAGGTAAAACCGTATGGAAAAAAAAAATTGCCGCAGGGCATTGAGTGCTGTTTAGCACGGAGAAGGGTGTTGCTTTCTTTCAGTGAGTGATCCCACAGAAAGGTGATTCAGGACTCCGGACACGGATTTGGATACACAAGAAGACCCACCGTCCAGAAAAGTTATCTTTATATTTTCAAAAAGTAAATTTCGCAGTAATTTATAAAATGTTCAAGCGCGATATTACAAGG